TCACATTGACTTTCCCAAAAACCAACCGACCCAATAGCAGTCCCAACCAAATCACCGGGAACGTCGATTCTTTGTTCAATCACAGCCGCGATGGGTCTGCCTCGTCACAACCAAAGCTCGGAAGACCATATCACAAATCTGATTCGTTTACCGGGGAATCGGGTAGTAGCTATTTAGCCTTAAAAAGGATGAAAGAAAGAAAGAATTGCGGCACTGCAATTGGATTGGAAGCTCATGATAATGACATGCCCCCCAGTGTGGGACCGTCGATTGGGGACGGTTTACGTACTTTGTTTGGCCCGGAGACTCCGATAGGGTTCCAGACTTCGGGGTGTGATGATGGAGAGATGGAGATTGGGGGTTGGGAAGGTGATCCGGTCTGACATGTGAGGGCTGACTCGGGCTGGATACCTACCTAGGTATTCGAATATTTTTTGAGGGCTGTGCCTGGCTTATTATTGGATGGGTAGGGACTGTGCGAGAGATCGCTTTACCACTGTCAGTGTGACGGGCCCATGGAGGAAATAGAGTTGACTTTGGGAGTGACAGGCCAGTTATCATGGAGGGCAGGCCAACAGTTAAGCTAGTTTAATCGGCATTTGGGAGCGTGTATTGGGAGCGCTGCAGCGCAAAGAATATTTCTAGATTACTATTGACCTCATAGAATATTCACAGAATAAAGCCAGAGTTCGAATACTGTTCCTGCGCTGAAGAAAAAAAGAAAAGAAAAATATCATTCCAGAACTCCACACACCAGACCAACGGCAGTACGCCTGGATAATGAGACCGAGAACCGAGACCCAAACAAATAAAATAAAGAATAAAACGAAAGTTTAATCAGATTCATCACTTTCATGGTCCTCGTGACCGTGCTTTCTTCGCTTTCCTTTTGGTGGCGCATCCAGTTCCGTTGTAGTATAGGTAACTGTATGCGTAACGACATGTCGCACGCTCACCTTGTGGTTGGAACTTCGCGGGTTTGCGGTCCGAGGAGCATCAAGGTAGCGCATTCTCCAGTCTGCGGGAGAATAAGAATAGGGCGAATATGGGGAGTATGGAGAGTAAGCAGAGTAGGGAGAGCGAGCAACGGTTGCGCTCCTAGGCCCAGCACTTCGAGGCCCAGCGCTCCTCAAAGGCTCCGCTGAACTTGGCGAATGCCTAAGCGCCGGGGGGATGCGCAACCGGCGCAGGTTGCTGAATTCCCGCCGAGCATGGGTTGGTCCATGAGGAGTCGGTGGAGGAAGTGTCGCTGACCGCGCGGACTCATTGAAGTTGAAGGTCCCACTGACTGCGCTGGAGGGCTGTGACCGTGGAATGTTGGCATTGCGTTGATGTTGGTTGAATCTGTACTTCGAGTAGTCCACGTTGTCGGCGCTCTCTGGGTTGGAAAAGATAGGAGACAGTGCCTTTAAGAACTCTGTGTAGGCAGCTGGGGGAGTGATGGGAGTCGAGGCGCTGTCCTCATTCCTTGCGGACTCAGTGCTCGAGTCGGTGCGAAGCTCGGATGGGAATACAATGTTGCTAGGCGTTTTGAGCGGAGGGAGAGCTGGTTTGATGGAAGGCATCTTGAAGGATATATATGTGTCGAAAGGAAGAAAAGAAGTTGTAACGAAAGTAGACAGCCGGTATGTACGTGAGGCCAACTTAATGGTCGAGATAAAAGTATATACCCGGGCGTGGAAGTATGTGAAAGAGAGCAGAGGGGCAGACCACGTAGCGAGAGCGAGGGCCCGGAAGAGGAAGGACGAGAGGAGAGAGAGGGAGCCGGGAAGTAAGAGAGGATGGAGATAGACGGTCTCTCTGGTGAGCCTCTGGAGGAGAGGAGAGGGCGCGAAGGCAACAGGCGAGAAGAGGAGGGCGATTTATTTATCAGGTGCAGTGGTGACTTCACTGCCGCCGTTTTGGTACGGTAACGCCGTTTGATACGCCGCCGATACAGCACGGTGACCGATCTGTGTAACGCTTCCCGTGTCAGTGTCACGCGCTAGACCCAGGTTGGCTAGCGCCATCACCCTTAGCTCGAGAGTGCGCGGCTGCAGTTGATTCAGTCCATCAAATCACCAGCTCCAGCAGCTCAACGACTCTGAATCAACGCTGCCCTGCTCTCTCTCATTGCCTGCCAGACTCGGGCGGACTCACCGGTATGCACGGGATACTCCAAGGCTCCTGCTGAAGTGTTGCCAGTTGAGGGGTCAGGCAGGTGCTGTCTCTGTGCTCTGCCAATCACAGCCCAGGCTCATCAACAAAAGGGTGACGAGGTGAAGAGAAACCGAATTCACTCCTGGCGAAGAAAGAAGAAGAAGAAGAAGAAGAAGCCAATGGAGGAAACTTCTGGGATTTATATCTTTGACGCCCTTTCAGGGTCGATGCTGTTGTCAATCTCCCAGTGTCCTGCGACCCAACAGAACCAACAAGCTTGACACTAAATCCCCCGTTTGTCGCGCGCTTTGGGGCCAAACTCTCCACCATAGGCCAATTCTCTCCTTTTCGTTCCTTCCAGCAAACTCTCTCCACTATTGCACGAAAGGGGCGCCGGATCCTTCCTCCCCTATCAGCCACTCGGGGCTGGAGCAAGCTCCGACCCTCATGCTACGCGCCCAGTTGCCGCGCACGGCTTCCTTGACCAGGGTCCTGCACGGCCAACCCCTAAGATCCTCTGTTGGAACCCTGCCGCTTACGGCCATTCCTCCAATCCGGTTGGCCTCCCTGTTTCCAGATTTTTTCTAGTCCGGCGGTTAGAGCGAGTTGTGCAAGGCTAAACAACACTCCTTGGTTTGCCACAGGCAAAGCCATGCTCAGACTCGCACTCCTCTTTGATAACTCGGGCGGCTACACTCATCCTCAGCGCTTGCACCATGTGTTTTATAAGCCACAGTCTGCGAATGATGAACTCGAACGCGTGTTGGAATGAGATGTCGCTCGTGTGTTGCCATGCAACCGCCCATCTCGCAGAGCAACGTGATTCTGCAGCTCTCATGATCTGCTTCTTTCGCCTATCATATCCTTGCTCTACTTGCAGTCTCGTACATTTCACTAACTTAGCTCCTTCAGCTTCTAATTCATCCATGTTTGTGTCGCTCATTCTTGCATGATCGCCGTTGGTTCGACATGCGGCGTCCTTTTCCCGCCAGTTTCAGCTTACATTCAGCCGACACATGGTTGTATATTAAACGCCCACGAGCCCCATGCTCCCAGTTTCGCTCATCCTTCGTTCGACAGGTGAGACCACTCAGGTCGCACCCTAATCCAACGAGCACGGACGATATCGAATCCTTTGTTGGCATGGCTCGCGGGGTGTAACCGAAATTCTCTAGTTGAACAGTCGCTTAACAATCGATTTTGGCTCGAGAACTCATGCCCAACACCTACTGGAGAGAATCTTTTGAGGGTCTATTGACATCTGGTGCCTCTGGGTCCAATTATTATGTCTATAGGCCGCTGAGCCCCGATATTGTCCCAATTGCCTCAGACACGATGCCAATCCTTTAGTTGGTTCGTAAACCAGATCATGTCCTATGGTCCACCGAGTACCAACATAACCGAAGGTCCCCTCGTCCATTAGCACGTTACAGCCCATAAACTAATCGTTCGGAACGTCAAGGCCATGTCTGTCTTGCGCCCAAGCGTGCTTCTGCATGGGACCAACCAACCATAATCTGTCTCAATCCTTTGAATTGAACCAGCACCATAAGAAACGGCCACGGCGAACTCTTGCGTCTGCGAAGGCGTCCTCGACTGCAAGTACGTAGTCGCATGGACCAGTCGAGTTCCACTCACCCCTCCAGGTGGTGAAAGAAAGGTATTAACATGCATATTCGTACGAATGAATGCGCGTATTACAGGATGACACTCCGTAAAAAACGAGCATGGGCTGGTGACTGACCGCCATGGTTTCTAAGTAGACCATGCCTCTAACTATGGCCACCCCTAAGGTAGGTAGCCTCAGCTGGGCCGCTGGTCGTGCCTTCTAACGATAATGGATGGGTCTATGGAGGGGTCGGTTGCTCCTGCCCTATTTGTTTATGTTTCAATCTCGACATGAACAGAAGGAGCCCTGGTCGCGCCTGCCATTATTTATTAACATCCCTTGAAGATACCAGTATCAGCTTACGGTGTCGGGTGTACTTCGATACCTGTGTTCCCCCATCCATTAAAGTTTTGCCGACCAACACAACCTCTCTGCCTCTGCCATCGACTGGTCACTCACCAGCCCAACCACCATTAAAAGCGAGAAACATGCGCCTGGACAGGAAAGTTAGAAATGGAGACAGCGCTGGTTGTGGATCCAACAACCTTCCTGCGCAATTGGGTCATGGGGAGGTCGAGGCTCTGGACGCCCATAGACGTGGCTTTGATCGACGAGCTCGAGGCTGAATCTCCAGTGCTCGGCAAGGAGCGAAGAGTGCACATGGCTTGATCGGGAAATCGGTATCCACTATAGGTAACTACCTGTCTGAGAGTCGGTTGGGCAGTTGTGCAGCTGGAGATGAATCTCCTGGGGTGTCTGCAGTATGATCCACTTCACTGCGTTGGCAGTTTACCTGTAGGCTCCTACGATCTATCCGCCGAGCTGAAAAGTCGTGAATACTTGTAACCAGACTCGGGAGTCACCATCAGCAACCTGAATGCCCAAGTTGTGCAATCCCCACAGCTACAGCTACAGCTGCTATAATCGATTGTACATTGCAGCTCGAGCTCAGTTATAACTATAACAGTTCCACATCTCTCTTGATATTTACTTGCAAGCTGTATACTAATTTATATCACCGGTAGATGGCTCTATGTACACTCCTCAATAACAGAAAGTCGTTTGTTTCCCTAATTCTAGCGTAGTTTGAAACAGAGATCTGTTTACCTTTACCCACTCTGCGACAAATGTCTAGTACTAATGTGCCACCCGCTTGTTTTTCTTGCATATAAATGAATAGCTATACTCTGGTTGCACCTTCCTGCTTCGGAAATATAATCCAAGAAACGAGGATTCAGAATTACAGATCTTGGTCGTGCCTGCCTTATACAAATCCATTCACGTACTGCACCTGCCTAACCCTAATAACCAATGTCTCTCCCCATTGCACCTTCCTTGTTTACAAAATTTATCCTCTGAGGAAGGAACGGTCGAGGCCTCGGCCGTCAGTCGCGCGTGTCATTCTGGAGGCTGATCACACCTGCCTATTTCTCATAATATCACTCCCCATCGTGCCTTCCACTTGATGATTAGACTTGAAGGAAAGAGGGAGGTGCGATGGGTACACTTGCGACTTCCCATCTTGTTCGTACCTGCTGCATATGAAGTCCTAAATTGGAGATCTCCTTCCATGTTCTGGTATTTAGTAGTCAGGCTAGCTCCTGCCCATTCCAGCAGTGATGGCCCTCTATGCTTTGGTCGATCCATATTGTTAGGGGAAATGTTGTGAATAAGTTCATCTTGTCCATGAACCCATATTGAATATATCCCCTTTTTCATCCTTTTCTGTGATGGGTAACGGATTCCTGGCTCGCAGAACCCCTGACTATTTGAGGGATATCCTGGGGTGCCGATGACAAAAGCCAGTAAGGCACTGATTGGATACATTCTGTTGACGAGACAACGACCTAGGTATCTCTACCTAGGCAGGCAGCCAAAGAAGCCCTTTTAGAGACAAGCAATGGGTACGAATCTGTTCCTGGACGACGGTTCTTGTCTTAGCCCGTGATCTCTACTCTACGGAAGTATTCAGTCTCTAGTGGTTTTAGTACTTCGAATGATCTTCATTAAGGGCACAAGCAGCCGTAGCATCCATACCTCTTACAAGCTACCCGTACTCATCCTACCCGTTGTTGTTGCCTTTGATCCAGAATACCTCCTACTAATTTCAGCGTACATGGTGAGATGGGTCTGCGCTATATGAAGAATACGACCCAGCTATCCAAAACCCCGCATTCGCGCCGACGATGGTATTCATTCCATCGTGGGAAAGATTGGAGAATGGAAAGTGGCATAGGTACCAACAGTCAGGTACACAGTGTCTAAGATTGTACCCAGGCGCCTATACCAATGTATAAGATCCCATGGCTGTGGTTAAGAGAGCATAGCAACCCCAACAACGGAATACCGCCACCAACCCAATCCTCCACAGTCGTTCTCCGAGAGCATGGATAGGCTTTCATGGTAGCAGATGACCGGGTATTAATACTACCACGGCTCCCTCGAGATATTGAACCTGGACACCGGCCCCGCGGTAGCTGTTCGTACCTCACCATCCATCATAAGCCTCGAGCAGCGATGGAGGTGGTAGCACCCTCGACACCTCCGGCTGACATCAAGCGTCCCAGATCCATATAAGTCACAGTCACCATAGTCAAGACGACCTGTTCTCGGAAGCCAGTTCCATCACGTCCCAGCAATTTGAATTCTCTCAGGCGTCGACGCTGCCTTGGGATGTAACCTTAGTAGGACCCGACTCTGGCCGGGACGGGATTACAATAAAGGCCATGTAAAGACGATGCGGGAAGTACTCAAAGGTTCGACCGGATGAATGGAAGACGAACAGAGAAGAAATGGCTTGGTGATTAGATAGGAGATGCTTAAATGGAAGGGATGAAATTACTTACTGGGGCAAAGAACCTGGCGTGCTAGAACTGATCGCGACCATGGTCGGCGTTTCGTTTTAATGGCGAGAGGGTTAAATAGAGATGAAGGAGCTTTATGAACTGAGTTTTTATTCATGTTACATCACGGGATTCTTCCTCTACGAGGCAGTCCCTTCAAGTTACTAAGTAGTACCCGTAACCCTCATGGAATCACACTGGGCTCGAGTCTTGAGTAGAAAACACCGGGAAAGAAACACCCAGAAATATTATTCTAGGCTAATCCGGTAGGTATTAATGTAATTTAGGATGGATTAAGGATTGATATCCTGCCATTGAAGGTTGAGTCTAGCCAGAGTACTCCATTCGCCGTTCTGATACCACAGGTATAAGTACTAGATACAAACACACGGTCTAGCGAGTGCAGCCAGAGAGTACATGAACCAGTAAATCCAAGAGAACACCCGATCCAACAATAATACCAAAGTAGTCCAGCTCGGTCGTAGTCCAGTTGCTGGAAACTGAGCAGTAGTCTTGTAAACATGACATGAAATCCATAGCCCCTAAAAAAAAGAAAGAAACCTCCGCATAACACCACATAAGCTCCATCTGTCTCCGTTGGTCGATTGAACGTGTCCCAGTAGTTAATCAAATCCCCAAAGGAGGAGTTTATTGTGTCGCCTCGACACATCATAAGGCTTCCGAAGATCGAGGCCTTCCCTGACCTGCAGTGAAATATAACGAATCGCAAAACGGAATGGGTATATAGCGAATGGTAGATTATTCGAAAAATATTTTCACCAAATTGGTCGCAGGTACAAGAGCCAGCCTTGTACGAGGTTCCCATCGAGGGACCTCCCGACGCTATGAGATTCAATCTCATTGAGAAGCAAAAGTAAAAGAAAAAAAAGTGTCCGATCCTAGTTCTTTGTTGTACCACAATCAAAGAAGAAGGTAGTTCCAGCCGTTCTGTTGCATAACGTCCCGCCAGTGCGGCTTCTTGACTTCTGTTGGCGTCCAGCTGAGCTCGGGGGCCTTGGGGGAGCTGGACGGTTCGGCCTTCACCGGGCTAGCCGGTTCAGAGGGCGAAGATGCGCTTCCTTGAGTAGTGGACAACTCGGAGAATTCGTCTGTGACTCTCCACACTTCCTGCAGGACTCGGTGCATACGGCCGAAGCTGCCAAGTTCCGCGTGTTCAGCGAGAGCTGCTGCTCGCTCAGCGAGGAGAGTTCGGAATTGACAGCCAGGGGTGGAGTATACACCGGCGATGAACAGTGGCCATACGAGGGAGCGGTCAAAGCCTTCGGGCCCTGAAGGAATGTACTGCAGAGCGTTTGCGAGTGCTTGAACCAAGTTAACGTTGCTGGGTTGGGTTTCCTCAAATCCAGGAACAAGGCTGCAGAGGTAAATTCGAGCGGCGATGCGGAAAACGGCCGTGATGTTCTTAGTCAAGATTTCGGGGCGAATCAATCCTGTTGTTATTGAGTAGGGGCTCTCCATGATCGGGTCGGCGGGTTCAGTGAATTCCAGCTGTTGTCCGAGAGCCGAAACGTGAGAGCAAACCTGCATCTCGTCCACTCTTCCATCTGCCTTGAGCGCATCTAAGCATGCAATTTCCGAGATAAGGTACATCACACGGTCCTCGCAACCCATGAGCTCGCGCAGTCCGAGGGACACTCCACCAAGATGTTTTGATCGGTAGGTGTGGGCGAATTCGGGCGTCCTTCGGTACATCGTCGAGCCGAGGATATCGATCCAGGCGGTCAAGGTCATGCTGAATGGTGGTAGCACGTACGGATTCGGGGTGTCTGCAGTTAGCCCAAGGCGTTGCACCAAGTTGGCAGCAGCCTGGAAGTGGTCCAGCCAAGGAATGTCCGGAAGGTAGTCATCGGCTGGGCCTACGGAGGAGTGGAAGAAGATCATGCCGAGGGTGGCATCGAGGATCTCTTGGTGTTCACTGTCATCTCCCAGGGCCTGGCATAGTAGCGAGATAGCCTCAAATCGGTTTCGCATGATATCGTGATCGATCTGTTCTCCCGTGATTCCTTCTGTCGTCTTAAGGTGTATCGCGGCAACGCTAAGACAGCAGTGTAGGTAGCACTTGTTAGTCTCGAGGGTTTGTAGGACGGCTTGAGCGCGAAGGTGCCCGCGTTGGTGAGCTTCGAGAACGGGAAAACTCATTCGCAAGACGTTGTGGATAAAGTGCTCCAAAAGCGGTCGATCGTGGTCACTAACGGGGATGCTTTGCAGCATGTCGTATGTGTCTGGGAATGTCTGATCGCAAAGCGCAGGGTCAATTCCTGGTAGCGCCGGTGTTCTGAAGTACTCATCATGGAACCACTCGTCACCTGGGAAGGTAGGAAGAGGCGCATTCAATTGGGGTGGAGCAAAGGCACTAAAGGTCGATGATACAGAGTCATGGCGCAGCTGGACATCGTTGACGAATGTTTGGCGCTCAGTCTTGACGTCTACCTCGTAGGGATACTGTTGTGTATAAAGAGTTTGACTTAGGGCAGGCGTGGACAAGTGTGAAGCAAACATGTCGTAGGTTGGCTCTGGGAACGGACGGCCATATTCGAATTCTGGTGAAGTCGGTGAGTTGGCGGCGATGTTCGGAGCACGAACGGCAGGATCTATGATACAGGTTAATGAGACGGAAAGGGCAGTATACAAGGAAAGTAGTTGCCCTACCTATGGCTAATGACCCATTGCGCTCATTCATCTTCGTCTGCTTGATCTTGTTCTTGATAACTTCCTTGTGCATCTTCCTCTGTTCGTTGTTGCCCCACCAGATAGGGCGTTTATATTCGCATTTCACAGAGAGGTTGTTGCATGCTCCACAAGAAGGGTGCTGCTCATCACACTTCTTTCGACGAAGACGACATGTGAAGCAGCCTATCGAGAGGGGGGGAACTGGTTAGATGCGCCAAGTATTTATCAAGCTATATATGCATGCTTACCTGAGCGAGACCGCTTGTGGGACTTGGTAGTTCTCTCGGGTTTTGGTGTATTCTCACTCCCCGACGATGATTGAGACTCGGCCGCGCGCTTCACAGCGGAGGGGTTAGTCTTCTTTTTTGCTGCTGCCGGCATTGTGTATAGATGTGACTGGTTCCTGGGCTGTGATGGCGCAAGTGTCACGGGATATCGAGTATCAACACGGATAGGAGGACGGGCAGTAGGTGACAGGCGAGTCGCAAGCGAGGATAGTAAGGCGGGAGTATTAAGGTGCAAAGCTGGACCAGCAGCCTTGGCTATCTAATTAAGTAGAATAAGAGAGCGTAAGGCGCGGTTTGCCGAAGGACGAGGCGACTGGGGACGACGCTGGGGAAGCAAAAGAAGCTCGATCGTGGGATCGAGCAACCTTTAAAGCTCGAGTGCGACTCCATGATGTTTCTATTTTGGAATTATTCCAGATAGCCGAAGGGAAAATTAGGTGGTGGGAGAAGCAGGATTGGAGTGGAAGGATTGGAGATCGCCCGCTGGTCCTCAATTAGCGTTGGCCAGGGAAGGGAATCATGCAGGCTCGAGAACCGGTGAGTTTAGCTTGGTTTGCTCGGCCCCACACTTCCAGGCTAATTTTGGATAATTTTGGTAACTTTTGGCTGTCGTCAACATGGGCGCCTATGCAAGTTGAGGGGTTGGTGCGTGATGATTGGGCGTCAACTCCAGGTTAAGATGGGCGGTTGGCTGGCTGGTTGGCTATGAATGTATTGCAAATATCGTGAGTCCGAGCTATCCGATGACCCGTGCTACAGCAGATTCCTTCGAGCTCTGCAAGCACAACAGTGATTGCTTCCTTTTTCGGGCATCAAGATATCTCCACTTTGACGGCCTCCCGTCTGTCAAATGCCAGCCCCCCGTCCGAGTCATTCACCGGTACTTGACAGGCGACAAAGATATCCCGTTGAGTATATATGCCGCCTGTGACTCAATATCAATTCCCAACCGGACGGGATCCCTGGCCCGCAAGGAAGTTGAACACACGGCAGGCATCGTGACAAATTCCCAGTGGCCTCGATAACGCAGAGAGCCAATCGCTGGGCTTAGTAGGCTAGCCTGGCGAGGATTAAATTAGTCTGATTTGAGGCCAGAAAACGATGATCAAATTTACCATATTGGGAAAATGCGATGCCCTCGTGCGAGCGTGATGGGACGGGGAACGAGAAGCAACATCGACGGTGGACAGGCCAGGGATCACGCTGACAGCAGACTCGGCGAGTCGTCACACACTTTGGCCCTCACAATGTGCTGGGATCTTGAAGAACCAGCCAATGGCCAGGCTGAGAGGTGTGCTGGAGCAGCAGCGCGTGCAGAGGCTTTGCGGGGTGTTGTCGAATAGCAACGGGAGAGCGTGTGATGAAGTGCAGGGAGGAAGCAGCAAAAAACACTAAAAGGACGCTAAATTAGCCCGAGCGAGCCAAGATCTGGTCCCGCGGCTTCCATTGGACGAACGCCAGATTGCAAAGCTCTTAATTAGCAACAATTAACCGCCGTGAGGTCTGCAGGGTTCCCTGCGGGATTTTGTCCAGCATGGGGTGATTATTACCGTGATTTATTCTTAGCTCTACCCCTCTTTTGCTATTATTAACTGCATTTTATGCCACAAACTCACACCCCAGGCTCGTAATTAGTGTAGATTAACTGTGATTATCTGCAGGCTGCTCCACCTCGGGTGATTGCATCTGTGCTCTCGTCCTCTTGTCACACTCTGGCTCGCCGTCACCTTGTCCGTCACAATGCAATTTAACTGTCTCCAAGGACAGACAATTTGTCACTATTAATATCGTGATTAATGGAGGAGAATGGCCGCTAAGAACCGGGCGAGGAGGTCGTTATCTCTAAGGCAGCCAGTCAGATCTGCAATCAAGATATCGGCATGACCCTTAAAAGCCTAAATTTTAGTGCCAACTTGCCGGCAAAAGACGGGCGGGATCTGGCACATCTTTGTGCTGCTACTCTGTGTCTCGCTGTCCAACGTGGCACTCTTTAAACAAACTACCCATGTTTGTCCCTGGCCCTGATACTACCTCGCATCCGTGTCTTCGGACTGAAATTCTCCGTCGATACTCGACGCCAGCAATTTCTCGACAGACGATGCGGGGTACCGACGACAGTTGGAATGCTGGAAATACTCTCCGTCTTCGGCCTTACTCCGTCCTATCTCAAGCAGGTTAGCGTCCAATGACTCACAAGCACGGACATCGCGTTGGGACGGGACCACTTCGACGTACTAAGATCCCCAACTAACCCCAACAAGAAAATGTTGATGCAGCAAGGAAGATACCTCAGAAATTACGCCTTCGGCCAAAAAACGGCCCTTTCCTACCCAATCCATCGTCCTATCTCCAAGTAAACACCCCGGGCAGCGGAGGAAAGACTGGCCGTGGACGCCCCTTGCAGGAACACCAACTCCATGCGCCTCAGACGTCCATGCACAAGACCAGACACTCTGGAAAATCCTTTCTCGAAGAAAGGAACTCAAGAGTCAAGTTTCATCTCCCCGATTTAGACTTTAGCCTCAACTCCGATCGGAAGTTCTTGACCAACGTGTCTACCTTCTTGCCGCCGGACCTGAGACGATCCAGCTCCACATATACCTGCTGCTATAATTACTGTCCTTGACGCCCTGTTTGCCAGTCATTAGCCGCCGCGGTTTGTCTGTGCTGCTATCAAGCTACAACGGCCAGCGCTGTCGGCCTGTCGGCTGTTGCTATTTTTGACACTGGCCTGTTGGTTCGGCGCTTAGAATATCGAGGAGCCTACTGGTAGCTCGCAAAGTACTGTACATACGGGGCCGTTGGGGTCTGGAGGGCGTTGAATGTCAAAAAATAGGTTCGAAGGGAATTCGATTAAGTTCTGGGGGCTGTTTCAGCCATTACTCATGTTGCTGGAACTGGCTTTCTGCGAGTCAGTCTGTGGATGACTTGTGCCAACCCCGTAGCCTCTTATGGAAGGAGTCTCTATGAGAGGCTCTATAGAAGTGCGGGAGTATCTATGATGAGAAAGTTAACTTAAAAATCATCTTATATGGCATGTTGCTTGGTGGTTGGTCATACTTCGGTAAAACATCGGTGATGTAGATATATATCTTGTCCAACACATGAATAATCTCCCACAGACTCTTAACATACTCACCACGGGTCTATTCTACCAGAGTAACAAAAAACAACAACAACAACAACAACAACCAATATTCAGGTGTATTGCCTCTTGGCCCATCGTTCCCAAGGTTGGATGCACACTCTGGAACGCCCAGGATGGGGACTTAATCTCGCAGCAGAGCATTTCCAAGGCCGCAATGTTGACGCAAGCTCCTTCCTATAACAGACAAATAGATGTCCTTGCAGGAAGGTATTAGTGATATTGGAGAAGATTATTAGCCCTTAAAGTGGAAGACACGGCTTGAGAGCCAAAGATCTCGGTCAGGTAGAGCTGCGCGGAAGCCTGCATTGAATCTTAAAACAGACCTCGATCTGTATCTGTCATCAGGACTGTGGGGACTGCGGCTGGGCAGCTACCTATGATGATAAAAAGGCTCCAAAGCCCATAATAGACGTGCCCATGCAGAGAACTAGCCAGTGGAACGGCCGTACTGCATACGATGATGGACAGTTCTTGTGCGGATGAAGCTAGGTTCCTTCCTAAATAATTGCTATTGCTATGTCATGCTTGAGGGTATTTATATCGATCTACTAGTATTGTCGGATAGGCTTCTATAATCTGCTGGTTACTCTACATCCCCGGCTTCAATCTCCTTCATCATTGTTTCCGCATCTTCTGCGGTCTTTTTGACATCTTCTCCGAGTTCACCTTCTGTTCTAGCGATTTCTCCAAATCTCTCCCGCCAAAGCTTCCATCTTCCCTTACAGAAGCCATGCTTTCCATCCCAAAGTGGCCCTCCCTTTCCTCTTGCACCGATTTTGGGCCCAGACTCGAACTCTTCATCCCAGTTATAGATCTCCACACCTAGAGTCTCGATCCACGCAGCCGCGGCAGGAATCCACGCTTCCAGCGGCTCTGCCCCAGGCCTCCGTTCCGTAGGTGACTCAAGCGCCGCGCGGAGGGTAATTAGAGCAAACCACGAGTTGGACGCGAAGATATCCTCATCGGTTGCCGTAAGGAGCGCAGCGAATTTGCTGATGTTGATGATCTGCGAGATAGCCTTTTGTTGCTCCTCGGCGCTTTTATTGGGATTGACAGAGATATTATAGTAGTCGCGGAGGCTCCAGCCCAGCATGGGCAGGTCTTTCCATACTTCCATCTCGTGTATGGTCAAGGGCCCTGACCCCTGTTCTGCGTCGGGGCTGGGGAGCTCGGAGAGGTCGACGAGAACATCAACAAGTTTGTCTTGGTGTTCGGGATTTTCGCATGCGAGGGTGAGTACTAGGTTCCAGAGACGGCCGAGACTACCCTCGAGCGTTGTATCGTCAGATAACGTGGCCTCGGCGAGCTTGTTTGCGGCTGTTGGCGCGGATATGCTGTCCGCGAACAAATCCCGAAGGATTGTAAGGCGAGACGCGAATATTTCGTCTGTGATATTGACCATGTTGATAATGCAGTGGAATCTAAACAACGGAAAAGAAAAATAATGAATACAGATTAAATGGAGGGAGTGGTATAGATAAACAAAAAGGGGGGCCTGTGCTTGTTAAATGCGACGCAATGCGGGGCGGCCCCAACATGTGAAGGCTGAGAGTGAGACTCGCGACGTCATCCTCCTCTGTTCCTGAATCAGTCAAGCAATCCAGACCCTTCGCTCTCCCACGGCCAAGCGCTGGGATCTGCGTATTTCAACACATCGTCTCTCGCCTCCATAAGATGCAAATACCATGACGATGTTTCGGTTCCCAATAGCACCGTCCTTGCGCGCCGTCGCGCCTCCGATAATCCCACGCGCCCGAGCCTCCATACCCTCGTCGCAACTCTCCTCACGACTTTTTTCCACCCCATCTTCCAGGATCCAGAGTACGAGACCTACCACGATACCGCGCTCGTCTCGCTATATCCCTTCACGATTCTTCGCAAGCTCGACCCATCGGTTCTACGCAAATGGGTACAGATACAGGCGCTTCGACGGGCCCAAAGGGGAGCCATTTGCGTTCCGCCTGATACGAAATGCGAAACCGATCCACTTTGTGATAGTCGGGGGTGTCATCGGGGGATTCTACGTCTACAATACAGAAACAGTTGAGGTGGGAAGCTCCATGCGCATATCACACGCATTCGCATACCTTGGGCTGACATTGTGAACGAACTTTTCCAGATGACCGGTCGGCGACGGTTCAACATTGTCTCTCACAACCAGGAATTGAAAATGGGCGAGCAGAGCTACCACGAGGTCTTGCGAGAGTATCGCGGACGCATCCTTTCTCAATCCCACCCCCTCACTCTCATGGTGAATCGCATTCTACAGCGCCTGATTCCCCAGGCGCCGATTCACGGAGCGAACTGGGAGGTCCATGTTATCCAGGACGATAACATGATGAATGCTTTCGTTCTTCCAGGGTAAGCAAGCTTGATGCCCTTAGTAGCTCTGGGCTACGCCGCGATGTAACCTAATTCTCATCATTTTTATTTAGTGGCAAGGTTTTCGTATTTACGGGAATTTTACCCATCTGCCAGGACGAAGATGGGCTGGCGGCCGTTTTGGGCCACGAGATTGCCCACGTGGTGGCCCATCATACTGGCGAGCGGATGAGCAGCAACTTCGTTACCATGGGAGTCATCTTCCTCACCGCGCTCCTTTTTGATGTGTCCGGGAACATTCCGTCCTTATTACTAAACCTTATGTATAGTTTGCCGAACTCTCGGACGCAGGAAGTAAGTATACACAAACATCAGAAATGTGAACCACCACTAACTTCAACCAGGCCGAGGCGGATAACATTGGCTTGAGTATGCTTTAACCTGCATTTTATTTCCTTTGCGCCGCTAATATACCTTCTAGTGATGATGTCAAAAGCATGCTTCAACCCTGAAGCTGCTGTTGGACTGTACGTCATAATCTCCCTCGCGCATCTCATCTCACGCTGCTAATTCAACCATAGCTGGTCTCGCATGCAAAAAGCAGAAAAACAGGTGCCTCCTCAATTCATGTCAACCCATCCATCCGTAAGCGATTACCATAAACCCCGGCGCTTGGAGACTGACGCTAACCTCGACAGAGTTGTAACCGCATGGAATCTATTCGCGGATGGTATGTTTACTGAGGACACCGAAAACTTCAATTCACTGACTTTACTATTAGGCTGGATAAGGCTCAGCACGCGTATGAAGAGAGTGGCTGCTTTGGCGTTGCATCTTATGGTAAGTGTTCCCCGTCATATTTGAATCTATTCAATCTAACATGCTCCATCTGTAGTGCCGGGATTCCGACAGGCACGCGACGATTTCAGCTGGTAGAGCAGGATTTTTAATATATAAAATAATATGTACATTATAACTAGAACTCTCAATCGACACTCATAAGGATCACTACTGGGGCGGGCTATAACAATCGGGTTTCTACCTATGACTCAACAATCACCGATGTGTAGTTGCTGTCGGTTCCAGACAAGAAATTTAAAGAATGCTAATTTCTTATATATTATAAACCAGAGCAAAGATAAAGGGATCTCCTGGCAGGTGATGAAATACAATCAACCAGTTGCGCCATGCTCTCGCAGGACCTCGACCACTCTGGGCTTCTCTTCGTTCCACTCTTCTTCGATCTCCTCTATATCGTCCTCATTGCCGCCGAAAAAGCGTAACATCCAGTCTTTGTCTTCCCGCGACAACTCTGCCTCCGCAGCCTGCAACGCCGTGGTGTAGTATGAACTTTCAAATCTCTGGTTCACATCTGCTCCTTTTTCGATGAGATACTCCACGCATTCCGTTTGACCGAACAGCGCGGCAGCAATCAGCGGACTGCCATATCTTTTCCCGCCGCGTTTGGGATTCACCTCTACACCCAGTCCAAGGATATATTCAACGGTGCCTTCACCCCAGGTGAATGCTGCAACCATTGCAAGCGGGTTGCTGAAATCATTGTTCTCCAGAGGCATGTTGACGTCAACACCCTTGTCTACCAAGAGCTGGATCTTCTCGAATTGGCGTCCCCACACAGTTGCGGCGAACGGGGTCCCAAATACTCCATACTTGAGTTTCATGTTGATATCGGCTCCTGCTTCCACCAGGTACGGGAACACATCGATATCCCCCGTCTCTCCTCCCACTCCCGCTGCTGCGAGGGCACAGCCAAACTCCCCAGTCTCGAGCTGGGCGTTAATATCGGCTCCTCCCTCCACCAAGGCTTGAATAAGCTCCTTATCAATTGCCTCGTATCCTGCCGCGGCGAGAGCACTGCCAAATCTGCCCCGCTTGAGATGCATATTGGGGTCTGCGCCTGCGGACAGCAAATACCGAACAATACCGATTCCACCTATCGCGCATCCGACTGCAAGGGCGCTGCCATGCTTCCCAACCAAAAGGGGGGCGTTGATGTCAGCACCCGCTGTTACTAGAAACTCGACTGCTTCAACTTCGTGGTAGCAGGCGGATGCGAGGGGACTGCCGTATATTCCGGACGTAGACTGGGCATTCACCTTTGCCCCGGCTTCGTTGACTAGCCACTTGGCTATGCTTAGATCTCTTCTTGACACGGCGGCTTCGAGTGCATTACCGTAATGATGCCCCAGCGGTAGGTTAACATCGGCCTTTGCGCTTTTGACTAGGTACTGAACGGCGTCTAGTTCCTCATTGTGGATTTTGATCACAAGCGCTGTTTCCTCGTATTTAGCTTGGAGTCGCAGGTTAACATCGGCACCTGCGTCCAGAATAATCTTCACCATCCCAATGCCTCGAATATTGGCCGCCTCTCCGAGGGCGAAGCCGTATGACGACCGCGGAAGCGGCAGGTTGATATCGGCTCCAGCTCTCTGGACAAGGTACTTAGTGGTTTCCAGATTCCCAGAATCAATTGCTGCTGCGAGGGCATTGTCGAACTGGCCTTGCTCATCCGAAAGCATCATATTGACCTCTGCCCCAGACTCCACCAGGAACTTGACTACCGCAGTATGACCCTTCGCGGCCGCGGCGACAAGGGCGCTTCCATGATCGAAGCCTTGCACTCTTAAGTCCACGTCAATTCCTTTATTCACTAGCCACTTGCAAATAGGTAGCGAGCCCGCTCTGGCAGCGATTGCGAGCAAGTTGTGGCCACGCTTGTTCACCCGCGAGACGTCAAGATTCGCATCTTCCCACCAGTCTGACAGAATGGTATCAAATGAAAACCGACACATGGCGAAGGCACCAACGTCTTCTGGGTCGAGCTCGTCGAGAAGAGTACGTAGCTCCTCGTTATCAAATCGCCCCTGGCAGTAGAAGTCAAATGCGGAATTGAACAGGAAGCGATCATAATCCTGGGTGGCTTGTCGATACCATCGTTTATATTGCACACTGGTTTCACCTGGAGACCCTAGAAAGGCCTTCAGGAGAGGGGTTACCTCGGCCGCCGCCTCGGTGCCCTTTAGCTTTTGGGTATGCTGCATCCAGCATTGTCTCATGTAGATGTGGAAAGGGTGGTGTTTACTGAAGCCATCATCAGATTCCAACGCTGACGGCACATCCTCCTCTTCATCGTCGAGTTCGGGCTCATCCTGCATGTCGTGTTCTTCATACTTGTTGATGAAGTATGACAGAGAGACCCTGGCAGCGTGCGAATGTGCCTGAGAAAGAGGCAAATGGTCCTCCGACTCCAAGTATTCCGGGACCGAGAGGTGGGAGAAGCGCCATACATGCTGCTGACTGTCAATGACGAGGAATCTGCCACAGAGGGACAAGAGACCATCCTCATCCAAGTTCTCATCAACTGGGATCATGTCACCATTCGGAGCCACGCGGATGGCAGCAAGCATCTCGTCAGACGTCAAGGGTTTGCACATCGCCCTTGCCCAGAAGAACGCCCGCGTCACAAGTGTCCGGTCTTGCTTTTCCAAAGTATTGATCTGAGCCCAGACCTCATCATATGTCTCCTTGAGAGTTTCCGGAAGTGTTTTAAGACGATTGCGAATGCTGCCCGGCGATTGGCACCTTACGCTAATCTGGTGAATCTGCAAAACCGCCCACTGGAACATTCCCTGCGAGCGCTCAAGCAATGTCTCCATGACCTCGTTCTTCATCTTTTCCAATGCCTTGACCTTCTTGGCCACTCTGTCAATCTCAAGGTCGAGGTATTTTCTGATATCGTCTCGGTTGTCACTCGCCTGGATGTCGATAGTAGGACCGCTTGACAATTGACCCAGGATGCTTGGGTCTGGTCTAGTAGAGACAAATATCCTCACGGGTTTCTGGCTGTGGCACACGAACCAGTCCAGAGCCTCAGTCAACTCATCGCGTGATTCGGGGTCACATTCGTCTAGGGCATCAATCACCAGTGTAGACCTCGCATAGAGGTTCAACGAGGTCATAATCAGCTCTCTGCACTGCTGCAGGCGGAAGTTGGTGCCATTTTCGCGCGCATCTTTGACAGCATCGCGAATTTTGGTCTGTACAGACTCGGGACTGTGTGTGTTTGTCGAGAGTTGTCGTACGAAACTTTGTAGAACCGACTGTGGTTGCGAGCGTCGTTCATCGTTGCCCCGGCGGCAGTAGAAAAACGCGAAGCCCTCGTTCTTTGTAGCAACGCGATCGCGGACACGGTCAATAACGGCCGATGTGAGATAAGTCTTGCCGGTGCCCGGTGAGCCTTGAAGCCAGAAGAAACGCGACAGGCTCGTACTCTCCCAACTCTGGAAGTCCCTGTGCTGCACCAGCCACTCGCCTGTACCAGGGGTTCTATCTTCACTGATTCCATCGTGATCGCTTCCAAAGGGGATTGAAGAGATCCACTCCAGCATTTCGATGCGGTCCCTTTCATCCATGTGGGCCAGGAGGTGAGAGACGCCTTCATCTATACTGAGAATGGGGTCATTGAAGGCCTTCAGCATGTCGATCATCGTGTTATCTGCATCTGCACTGCGTTGAACTTCACACGCCTGAACTATCAGGAGAAGCTCATCTTCCGCTTCCTTCAAGCTGGACAGCTGGCTCTCGTATTCGCCCGGGTTTACTATAGAATTCAGTGTCCGTTCAAGAGTGTTCCCCTCCAGGAGGTTCCCGGAATCTGCCAGGAGCTCGAGAGAGGTCGAATATACTTTCAGCAAGGCTTCTTCAAGTTGCTTATGGATAGTCTGCATCTCGACCCCGGGTGTAGTAGGCAGGTAGACTTGCTCATATAATTGACCACGGCTACTAATGCGGACCACTCTCTCGGTTGTAGCTAGTAGAGCACACATCTGGTCACTTTCCTTCACGGGGATCTGTAACACCATGAGCTTTCTCCTTAATCTCCGCTAGCGTATCAATACTCACCTGCATCAAAGATTTGATCACATCCCAGGGCAGGCTGGCTTGGGGCGGCGCAAACTGCACAGCAATGTCCCCAGCCTTTTCCAACCAGCTAATAATGCTCGTGGTATACTCTCTCAGCACAATATCTTTACCGCCAATTTTGACGTGCCAAAACTTCTTCTCACATTCTGTCTGCCGTTCATTCACGTTGTTTACCAGCTCGGTGATGGTGGATTTGACATTTGTGGACTTGGGTTTGTGGAATCCCATTTTCGCGAGAGTTTTCTGTTTATCTTCCGACAGGCCCTTGAAAGCATCTTGCCATCGGTCCACTACAGAAGCATCAGGTGCAGTATCGGGTTCAGCGTCGGGTCTCCGTGGTTCTTCTGCAGGCTCTTGCGGGCTCGGCTTCTCTACGGTAGAGGGCACTGTAGCAACCGGGCGATTGCCCACCCCGGGCGCAGCAGGATTAGCTTTCACATTATTGTTTGGTCGGGGAGAAATATCCTAGAAGAAACAATGAGCATTCTATCACTGCAGTGGACAAGGTTGGTTATATCTCGACCTACCGACTCTTGCGGAGCATCAGCATTTTGTTTGGCGGACTTATTCTTGAAGCACCCGAAACAGGACATCGAGGGCGCAGTAGTAGAATTCGCAATCGCTGTGAATCGTGAGAGTTGAAGAGGTAAAAGGACAGCACGAACCGCTCAGCCATCTTGTTTTCTTCCTTTGCGACGATCCCACGCAATCAGCAAATGATGAGCATCTCTAGCATGGGTCTTCCCCCACGCGATGCACTAAATCGACTTGCCATTCCCCGCTGGGACTTGGCCAACGCGCACTCATCTTCAGCGATCAAAAAAGTGAGTGATCATTTGGCCGTGTCAGATCAGGATCCGGCATCCATCACTAAGAGACACGGGTCACCGAATTGGCTTCCAGCCTTTCACACTTGTACATAGCAGGCATCGTTTTCTTAGTGAGCAGACTCCATAAACTGAATAAAATTGCCAACTTTCGAATGTTGGCTACCCTGACAAGTGCAGCTGATAACTGAGATGGACCACCTTGTCTATGTTCGGCTGGTGGTGAAGCTCATTCGTGCACTGTTTATGACACTTGACCTTGCCAACACCATTCCTCCTCATTGTAGAAAGTAAAACAGCATCAACAAACCATGCGTTTGGAGTAAAGGCGGCTTAGCAAATGGACTCTCCTCATTTTGGATGCGTAGTATATGAACCTAGAGAGAATGGTAAATACAAAAGGGGAAGACTGAGCAAAATACAACGCGGTGTCAGGAATTACAATAACACAATACCCGACTCTTGCTTTGTTCCCCCATTTTCTCATCTCTTCGTCCACCTTCCTATCCTCCCTCTCATTTCTTCTCCAACGAGTACACCAAAACTCACAACGCCAAGTTATGCAATCCCTGCAGGGCACCCAGCGCGACATGCGCGGGCTAACCGACCGCATTAAGCTGACCCTTAAGGTCTCTCCCAGTACTGCCACAGGAGACGAAAAGGAATGGCAAGTTGATCAAAATATCACGGTTTCAGAAGAACTTGGTTCGTATAACCCTTTGATATACACAATACACAAGACATTTAGCATTGACTTGGAAATCCCAGAATTTCTCCTTAATGATTATTCCTTGGTCGCCAATCCGCGAGACAACGACAGAGGTATGATACGGCCGAGAATGGATGCTATTCTATTCGGGCAACTTGGCAAGGTGAAGAAGGCACACCAGAGTGATGGGGGCTATGAACCTCTTTGTGCTCCTTCAAATCCTCTGTGGATCTGCCAGCAGAATTTCACCCTTGATGTCGTCTCTGATGACATAGCTGGTATGCAAGATATGGAGGGTCCCATTGAAGCCGCCGTAACCTACGCTCTAAAGCATGGCGAACGCGCAGGGATAGACCTAAACCTAGTGGTTCTCAGAAAAGATACGCCTGGCCTGGAAGGTGAGAGTGAGGAAGTCCTCGCAGCCATGAGTAAGTAAAGTCAAGGATTCCGCTGGGACTTCTGTACAGTACTGTTAATTCCTAATTCTGTCACCAGCGGCTATCCATCGCGCTAGGAAAGCCGCATGGGCCGTTACGGAGCTCTATGGCCTTCATACAGACAGCTATGATTGGAGATTTTTCCATGTTAATGACTGTGGTCAGGTAAGGCTCCCTCTGCTCATATTGCTATCGTCCTAGGGCAATATTTCCCAAAACTGGTCTAACTTCGCTTGCGACGCAAAGTACTCCAGGTTGTCATTGTCCTGGAGCACAGATCGACAGAAGATAATAGGTCTACTCTGGAAGATCATGGACCAGGCGGTGATATTAGCAGGAAGCTCGGGCCGTTGATGATACTATGCGAGATCTCGACAGCCCAGGAGGAATCTGCATCTGATAGCAAAGCCTAGTCTTTAGAGATATCCATGGACTTGCAAGTACAACCACTGGAAAGAATGAGAAGGGAATTCGGCGTTTGTACGTTGGACTATTTGCCCAGCTCCAGTTTATTTTCAAGAGGATGATTTCAACTCCGGTTTAACTTAAATAAACTAGGACGCAGAGAATGAGACTTCGCGTGTTTAGTTCCGATATGCAATGTTAAACCGACAGGGATGCCAAGCAAATGCCCTAGCCCCTCGCAATGCAAACTGTGCAAACTGTCGCCGCCAGACCGTCTCGAAGCTCCGCCAAAAAAACCCCAAGCAGTAGCAGCCTCATCACAGCGTCACGGTATCTCCCTCTCTGACCCTTTCTCTCAATTGGACCGTATCTAATCTGAGAGGAAGATCCTAAACTAATCATGTCGCTGTCTCTACCCGGCCCTTCCCAGGCCGGCCTCTTCAAGCCAGGCTACCAAAGGTAAGCGATTCCCACTCAAGATTGTCCCCCCGCGAATTCTCCACGGAGCAGATTCAGGAGAACATCCAAGCCAGATCAACGACTATGGATATCTCTGCTAACGCGATAAAAATAATTGCAGCCACGATGCTGAAGATGGTGCCGTTATCCGCAACATCGAGGCCTGCCAGGCTATCTCCCAGACCGTCCAAACGTCGCTTGGTCCGTATGGCCGCAACAAGATTGTCATCAACCACCTGCAAAAAATGATTCTCACATCAGACGCCGCTACAATCCTGCGCGAGTTGGAAGTGGTTCATCCCGCTGCTAAGCTGCTAGTGATGGCGAGTCAACAGCAGGATGCGGAGATGGGTGACGGAACCAATCTGGTCATTGTGTTGGCGGGTGAGCTGCTGAAGAAGGCTGAAGAATTGCTCCGGTTGGGCCTGAAGACGAGCGATATTTCTCAGGGTTACGAGAAAGCACAGAACTTTGCACTTAAGGTGCTGGAAGGTGGGTTGTTAATCTTTCAGGGGTGTCGTAGCAGGACACCTCGGAACTCATCCCGTCATGCCTCCGGCAAACCATGGCTAACCGGTGATTGCAATGCTAGATCTCGCCGTGGACCGTTTACAGGACATGCGCTCCCAAGACGAACTCGCCAAGGCCCTCCGCACGGTAGTCGCCAGTAAGCAGTCCGGTACTGAGCAGATCCTCGCTTCCCTTGTTGCAGAGGCTGTTCTCGCCGTCCTCCCCAAGAACCCCCTCAACTTCAACGTCGATAATGTCCGCGTCGTGAAGATCATGGGAGGCAGCCTGGAACAGTCCCGCGTAATCAAGGGTATGGTGTTTGGCCGCGAACCCGAAGGTGCAATCAAGAAGGCCCAAAAGGCCAAGGTCGGTGTATTCAGCTGCCCGATCGACATCTCCCAGACCGAGACCAAGGGCACCGTCCTCCTCAAGAACGCCCAAGACATGCTTGATTTCACCAAGGGTGAGGAAGAGCGCCTCGAAGCTGCCATCAAGGAGCTCTACGACTCCGGCCTCCGCGTCGTCGTCGCTGGCGCCCAAGTCGGCGACCTAGCCCTCCACTACCTCAACCGCTTCAATATCTGCGTGGTCAAGATCCTCTCCAAGTTCGAGCTCCGGCGTCTCTGCCGCGTCGTCGGCGCCACGCCCCTCGCTCGCCTCGGTGCCCCCATGCCCGACGAAATGGGCTCTATCGACGTCGTCGAAACTACCGAAATCGGCGGCGACCGTGTCACCGTCTTCCGCCAGGAAGACTCCACTGCCGTCACCCGCACCTCGACCATCGTCCTCCGCGGCGCAACCCAGAACCACCTCGATGACGTCGAGCGCGCCATCGACGACGGTGTCAACGCCGTCAAGGCCATCACCAAGGACCCCCGCCTCGTCCCCGGCGCCGGCGCAACAGAAATCCAGCTCGTCGAGCGCATCTCCGCCTTCGCCGACCGGACACCGGGTCTCCCCCAGCACGCTATCCGCAAATACGCCGAGGCATTCGAAGTCATCCCACGCACGCTCGCTGAGTCCGCCGGTCTCGACGCAACCGAGGTTCTATCCCGTCTCTACACTGCGCACCACCGCGTCAACGCTGCCGAGGCTGGCGGAGAGGAAGGAAAGTCGGCTGCAGATGGAGAGGAGCCCTACTGGACTACTGGAATTGACCTTGAGGGGACCTCGTCGTCGGCTGGCACTTTGGACGCCGTGGAAGAGGGCATTCTCGATCTGCTTGCTTCCAAGAGCTGGGCTATTCGTCTGGCTAGTGAGTCGGCCAGAACTGTTCTCAGCGTTGACCAAATCATCGTTGCTCGACAGGCTGGCGGGCCTAAGCCTCCTGGTCCTAACCCTAACTGGGATGAGGACTAAATTATTTAATAATTTATGAAACAATGGATAGTCCAAAATTCAAGTTTGTGATAGAATGATACGATATCATGAAAAAGTTTAATATCAGGACTTTCTTTTGGAGTGTACAGTTGCATATACTGCGGGTCTTGTCATTACCGTAGACTGCAATGAGCTACGTGAACTATGCCCAAGTTATATCATGTGTAACAGGGTGTACAACTACTCTACAGGAGCAGACCAATTCCAACTACAATTAATTCATTAGGTGGTTTCTAAACCAGGGAAAGGCTAATAATACGTAATAAAGGCTGATCTCAGCTAACGGTACCATGTATCCTCGCCCAGGCACTCTCCAACAGTTGTCGCTGTTCAGGTTGTTAGTCAAACTGTCCAGAAGTCTAACCAAGGATGTGCAAAGGCATAAATAGAAAAGGTGGCTTACGCATCATCCCTCGTTCATAAATCTCGTCCAGCATTATATGCGTCAAAGTGCGGACTGTTTGTTCATGAATGTCGTGGGACAAGATGATCGTTCCTCCCTGGTCCAACTCGCGATTAAACTTAGCCACACTGCGGCCAATTAGGTCTGGATGGTCATTCTCGTAGTCCTTTGTGTCGATGCTAGCCCCAATAACATGATATCCAAGATCACCCATAACACTAAGGACATAATCGTTGACGGCGAGATATGGCGGCCGCATATAGGTGGGAACCAAACCGACAGCATCCGCAAAGGCAGATTCGAGAGTAGTCATTTGATCGACGATTTGATCATAGCCGAGAATAGGAAGCTCGGCGTGGCTCCATCTAAATAGCGTCTAGTTAGCAATGAAGGCCCGTTCAAAGCAGCGGGTGGGGAACATTAGATATTTACGTATGCGATGCTAATTGATGCCCTTCGTTTATTATGCGCTGGAGGAGCCATTCATTGTTTTCCAAGTTGTAGCCATTCACGAAAAAGGTCGCCTTTGCGCCATATTGATAAAGGATTCCAAGAAGTTCTTCAGTGTACATATATGGCCCATCATCGAAGGTAAGGGCCACCTTGCCAGGGATGTAGCAGTGGTTGATATAAGTGCCGTAGGGAAGATGCACAGCTCGGTCTGTGATGTTGACGTCCGAGAACAAGGCCTGGGCACTAGGAATGAGGGTTGCAGCGAGGATGGAGAAGGTAGCTGCTACGCTGAGCAGATGAGGAAGTACCATGATGATACAATATGAATATAAAGCAGGAAATGAGGGGATATGGATAAAAACGGCTTAGGGACTGGACGGTAAGTAGGCCTTGAGATAGGACAGCAAGAACATCAGTAGAAAGAAATGGACCACGTCTAATAGGAATTGGAAAGGACGTAGTTCTCTCAAAACTTGGTTACTGGCATTGCGAATGTTTAAGGAAGGAGCGACCAGCCTCCAGGCTCGCTAGAAAACCATTTGCGACGGGCCCAGTATATCAAAAACATGTCTATTGGACCAGCCCTGTTCTATAGTTGCTCTCACAATAATGCGTCCAGGGGTGTGCAGCGTACTTTTCTGCTGATGGTTAAGCGCTGCATCGTCTTACTGTTTCCCATAGATCTTAACCCGCTCCTCAATTGGCTTCTGGCTCTTCTCGCCGGGAGCAGTCTCAGGACTACCAAATACCAACTGTGCGATAAGCCTCCAGTCAGTTGGAATGTCCCACTGCTTAGCAACTGGGGCATCAATCAGAGGGTTATAGTGCTGCAGGTTTGCGCCAAATCCCAGAGATTCGAGTCCCGTCCAGACTTGCATAACGTCAGCCAATCACAATCGCAATTACATCAAACAAAAAGCAAAAAAAAACAGGAGAGGTCGGGCCAAACATACGGAAGTATTGGTGCATAGCATTAGAGTGGTCTGCCCAGGGTTCGAATTTGTCCTTAAAGAGAGCAAACTTCTCCGAGAACGGCTTTATGTGCGCTGGGTCTTCATAGAATAGAATCTGTCCCCAATAGTCAGAACGAATCTCTCAACGAACCCGCATCTCACCGCGCGGCTTTCGGGGGAACATACCGTTCCAACACCGGCTTGGAATCCCTGCAGTTTGGGCAGAGTCTGTTTTTCCCACATTTCTTTCGGTATGGTACCTGCTTTGACCATGTCCTGAAAGACACTAATGCCAATATCCCACAGGCGCTTGTGCTCGTCGTGCAAGAGCACGACTAGCCGTGTCGACTGGGTGTTGAAGGAGCTAGGGACATTCAAGATGGCAGAGTTGACAAGTTCCTCAATTTTGGAGTCCGGAACGGGGCTCTTGTTCCCGAGCTGGTAAATGGTGCGTCGAGCTTTGGCCAATTCAACAAAGGTGTCGGTCTTGGTGTTGTTTACATCCTGCTTCCGTGCGGAAACGGAGAAAGGCCGGAGACCTGCAGTTCTGCCCGCAGTGCTGGCGAGAATACTAGGTAGACATAGTGAAGGCCGTAGGGATAAAAGCCGAATATTGACTCCTGGAACTGCCATGGCGCTATCCAAACGAGACTTGTGTTGGTTCTTGTGGGTGAGACTTGAAAGGAGCGCACGATCCGAAAATATATCCGAGTCCCTGCCAAGCCCGAGATCTGACCTTTGTCAACCTTGAGTCATGATTAGGAAGCGATTAGGAATTCTAAAGTAATGGTCGCGGTGGATTACAAGAGGTCATCAAATGTTCAGATCAACCCACGTCAATTGCGATCTTGTTTTGTTGTAAAGAAGAGAGTTAAGTGTTGTAAATCTACCCCGAACAGCCGAAAGACTCCCATATCACCCAAACAACTCGCCAACAATATGCAACAAATCAAATACAGAATACCTCCCAACAATGATGACTGTAGCGCACATAAAAAAAAACACCAGGAACATCGGGGTATAAGTGAAACCTAACCGTACAAAGCCCAAACACATGAATAAACCCGAAACCAGCACTCTGCCGTGAAACCGAAAAGAGCTCCAATGGGTGTGAAGCGGGACAGGTCGCAAAAACAGACAATAATGATAATAAACGCCGAAACAAGGTTCGCATATCCATCATGATCATGAAACTTTCGTAGCATGAAGACTAAATGCAACCCCAGCACATAAGCTGTAGTCTGATTAGATTGCTGCTCACAGTGAACGCAGAGTATGAAATGCAAGACAAAAGAAAAAGCCAAAGTCTCACATGGATTGAGGAGGCTGCGCTCGCGGGCTTTGCAGAGCACACTCGCATGGGTGAGCATTGCTTTTAGTGCCCATATACCAGCCTTCGTTAATCAATCGATGCTCTAGATCCAACCAGTATTGGGCTTTGCCGCCGCTTGCAGTTTTCAAATCTAGATCGCCGAGTCGAATCTCGACGCGACCTTTCTCATTTCGGGGCATCTGGGTAAAATTAGTAAACTGCGGTGCCATTTCATGCAGGATCGACGAGGCATGGAGAAGTTTTCCTGCCTAGGGGATAGGTACCTTGATATACATTGTGCAATCCCGGATTGTCATTGCCAAGGACTTATCTCGGGAGTGTGGCGACGGTCCGTAGAGTCCAACATCTTTCAGGCTCCGTTGGTGTGCTAAAAGCTTCAACAGCGTAGGATTTCGATATAGAACTCTCGCTAGCCGGGAATGATCTTTATACCCTTTAACAAATTTGGTCGCACGCAAAACGTTTTCGAACTTGTCGGATACCAAGTCCAGAGGGCAGAAGGATGTTGCTTCTGCCGCCCCCACTCGTCGGGCGTCGTGGTGTTTCATGTCCCGCAGAGCGCAAGTGCGACATCTTCGAACACCCGTTGGCGCAGACGGGGACGGAAAAAGCCACTTCGGCTTCAGTTCGGCTAGCTCTGTCCCAGGGTTGCCAAGGGAAGTCATATCTGTAACTAGCAGCCCAAATGGCTCGGTCACGGAGAGATAAAGTCCTCGTCGCTGTTTCGGTCGCCTTCCAGTGAGCTCATCGGTGCGCAGTTGCTCATTGCATTTCTGGGTGAGTCCCTCGGGCAAGTGCACTAGTTCCTGGTCCACCAACTCTTCCGGTTTAAATAATGGACGGATGTTCTTGTCAAAGTTCCGCGCGATTTCCTGGTATGATACACCTCCCGGTGTATCCTTGCGAAGCCGTAGCAACTTCCCTTTGTACTCCGCGGGCACAGTCATAATAGTCTGGAGTTCACTTGAACCCGGTAAAGGAGAACTAGTTTTCGAGGCTTTCGGCGGGCCAACCGGTGCCACAATCCGATAGATAACATTCGCGCCACCTTCGGCGAGGTATGAAAGCTGAACCCTAGAGGGGAGCTCTAACGACTTGATTTGCGTCATTCGTCACGTTGTTAGATGCAGGATTGTTCTGGGTTTAAATTTTCTTGAAAGCACCATGGCCACGTTGGCAGTTCGTTGTCGTAAAAGCGTACACGACCCAAAGAAAAGAAAAAAACCTAAGTAATAGGAATATGGGTGCTTCGGAGACTGAATGAGAGTGTGACTCGAATGGGGTCACTTGGGTACCGAAGAACCGAGTTAAATAATACCTGTCTGAGCTCGGGCGATAGGAGAGCAGCAGGAGTAGGGCTTCGGAAAAAGTAAATGAAAAAAAGGGAAAAAAAAAAAAAAAAGCAAGAACGCGTTTCGCGCACAGATCCAGTCAATCTCTCAGCCGACACTGACTGTGAATAATGCTTCAGGGACACCACTGCTTGGCTCAGAAGAATGCTATCAGCCTCGTTGACAAAACCGGGAACGAGCGCTTCGTGTGGTTGGAAGCGTGGTCACACCGTGATTTGCTTTTAGTTTTTTGCTTATTCCGGCGTTGCGTCCGTCCGAATGGAATGACTGTGCCTCGTTACTTCTAGCCAATTGAGCCGAGACAGCCAGGAAATAAGCTCGAAGAGGTGGTTATTTATGGCGCCGCTTAACTCAGCTGAGGTTTGGCCCAGAAATCCAGGATGCGCTTGGCTGGCTCCAGCTGGAAAGGAAGAGCTTCAGGTGATAAGGAAGAAAGCCCGATTGCGTTTAGTGTCGAGGGTCCTTGACCCAAGGCGTTGAGTCTTGTGCAGGATTTAAGAGTGTCGCAAGTGCAGCGCTTCACCTCTCGGGTGAATGTGGTGCCAATGAGATTATGATTTGCGATCGGCGACAGCACTATTTACAGATGACACCGCGACTGCCGAAGCCGATAGTATTGAGTGCTTCTTGGAAGTTGAATACGTTAATAGCCTGCGGGGTTGCGTTCTTTGGGGGCTCGAGCAGGGCTGAGCTCGGGATGAGCGGGTACTGTGGATGGCGTAACAGTGTCGACTCTCAGTCACCATTCACGAGAGGCACAGAACAGCTGAGCGCAGGATTGCAGACGTCGGGCACGGACGCTCGGTCAATTGGGGGCTGCCAGTGGTGGCGCAGATTACAGACAGAGCGAAGAGACTAGCGGTCAGGGCGAGGGATGGTTGGTGGCCCGAGGAATGTGGTCATAGGCGAGGGTAAAGGTCGGAGGAAGAAGATCTGCTGAAGTCATGCAAGCAATCGCAGAAGCGAGCGACAGGCTCGGGCTAAGCAGGGGTGCCGTTGCTTCCAGAAGGACTGACCGAAGCCTCCCCTTGCGGCAGAGACGGCAGAGACAACAGAGGCTCGGGGCTGGGAGAGAGACAGAAAGAAGCAGGGGGATGGCGAGAAGAAATAGAAGAATCGAACCAGGAGGCCTCCTGAGCGCCGAACGCGACGATAATTAAACAAAGTTGCGAACCAGAGATCCAGCATGGTGGAAATGCCAAGGGAGCGAGTTACATGCTGCAAATCGCCCCGCTCTTGTTCTCGTGAGTCTGTAAGAGACTAACAGCACTGCTCAGAGGGCGAATCTGTCGCAGATGCGGCTGCGAATGGCTCCTGCTGCCGCCGTGATGGCGAGTGGACGTCAATAATGCAATGCATCGCTTTGGTCTTGACCTGCATGAGCCCCCAATCTGCAAGACAGTTGACTCAACCTCGACTGCGAGACCCCGCGGCGCTACAAGAGGGGCCACAGGCTTAGCTTCCACCCATCTCCTTTCTCCATCCACCATCAACCCCCGTCGCCTTGTGGAACTGCCATTAATTGCCAATTTCAAGATCTGGGACCTCCTGAGATAGCGTCATCTGTCATCCCTCGTCCTGCTCGGGGAGAAGAAAAAGCAAGAACAGCGTTCTGTGTCAGTGGAGCCCACGCGAACTGACACCTCGATCGCCCTGAACACACCCCGCAATGGCCTCCATCCCAACTCCCTCTCACTGCCTTGCAGACTTCTGTCTGATCCCCGTAGGTTCTGCCCTGTTACTCTAGCACATGCCGCAACCTGTCTCCCCGCGGTTCGCCTGTTTGCCTTGTTCTGCTCTTCGCATCTTCCCTCCGTGTCCTATCAATCTGCCCGGCTTCCCCACCACTTCTTCACACGACCATTTGCAGGCACAACAGGGCAAGCTAACACCACTCTTGCATAGATTGGCACATCGTCCCCCTCCGTTTCCGCTCAGGTCGCAGATGTCCAGCGTCTTGTCGAGAAATCCGGTCTGAAATACGTCATGCACTCGGCTGGAACAACGCTCGGTACGTTCTAGTCCTGCTGTCCACCAGTAGCCTACCTACTTTCTTCCTCGAAGTCTACCTACTTGTTCCCTACAGATGATTGCTGCCTACTCCAGGATCCCCTGTTATCGCCCCAGGATTACCCTGTGTTACGGTCCGAGTGCGCCTTGTCGTTTGCCCTACCCTGCTGCTTTTCCTTTCTCTCTCACCCACTCCACTTCCCTTCTCAAATCATTGCCCTCGTATCCGTACCCCGATCACGATTGATATGTCAGATGCAGACTAACGCGCTACTTTGCGTCCACCCGACCAGGGTGGTCGTGGCTGCATAAAAACAGAAGGACCTTGGGACAAAGTACACCAGGTCATTGGCCAAGCGCACACGATACTGCACGAGCAAGGCATCGTGAGGATTCAGACTGATGTCCGCGTCGGTACAAGGTCCGTTGCCCTAGGCTCCACTTACTTTCCATCCCCCCTTCCCTGTACTACCTATTTCTGCCAATCTGCCTGCCTACCTGTCTTACACTGCCTACGCCCCGCTGGCCTACAGCATGTATCGGTTGCACCATCTGGCGGGGCTGGATTGGGTTCTTGACTGCGGCAATTTCCATGTGAGGTCATATGTGCAATTGATACCATGCGGGCTGGGGGAGGGGTATGCTGCGGCTGTTGCGCGTTTCACGGATATCTCACAAATATGAGGGCTAAGCTAACTTCGATTTCGATGTTTTCTTGGCCTGCAGAACCGACAAGGTGCAATCTGCCGAAGACAAGGTGAATAAGGTTCACGAGCTCCTGAAGGAGTAACGGGTACACTAGGCTGGGTCGGCTACTTCAAGGAAGATAGTACTTAGTTCACTTTTGTGGCAGGGGTCTGTATTGGCTAACCACTAGTACATGATAAGATGATAAGATATCGCTTCGGAACACAGAAAAGTTGTCGCCTAGATATCCCAACCATGCAAGCATGACTTCGAGCATACTTGACTTACCAATAACGCATTCCACAACACCGAACCTATGCATGAATTCCAGCTCTAGCAATAAGGATTCGTTTAACCCAATCGATATCAAGGCTGGGATTCGTTACAGCCGAATAAATTAATAATCAGTAAAGAAGAAGGGTAGAAAAAAAAAGGCTCATCCAAGTCTATGAAAGAGAAATGCCTCCACCAAGTATCTCTCCCCAGTCTCCACCCGCCCATACCCATTCACCCATACTAGGGTTCGCCCCGGCCTGGGCGCTGCGGACGAGGTCAACTAGACCCTTGAAAACGTTCGAGTATGTGGATGCAGAGCTCTCCTGGTCTTCCGCAACGGCAGATATATTCGTGCGGCCGACAGCGTCGGTGACGCCGTTGAGTTTGTCCACCGTCTCTATGGCAGGTCCTTTTTCAAAATAGTCTACCAGGATGAAGGCTGGTTGGCGCCCCCAGGCCGTTTTGCAGTCGGATGTCGCATCGCCAAGGTTTCCCTCGCCCCCAGATGGGGCGTTTGTGGTATCGATATAACTATCGTTGGGGGCTTGGTAGTCTAGGACAACGGTCTGATAAAGAAAGTGGTTCTGCAGCGGTAGCATGTTGGCTGCGATGGCAGAGGCGGCACTATCGACGGTGGACGGGCGATCGACGTTGCAGGAGAAGTTCGAGGACGATGTGACATCGTATGGGTTTTCGAAGATATACTGGAACTCGTCCATAAGATACGTCGCACCTGCATTGTCGCTCAACGGCGTAACAAACGTCATTAAACGGGTCCCATCATCAATTAGGCTCTGGAGTGTCGGCCAAGATGTTGGTGGCCCCTGGGTTGTAGGTTTGTAGGCATAATCGGTGATCTTTGCAGCCTGGAACTCTGCATCGAGGTCGGAGCCCTTTGCGTTGTCGGAATTCACCAACAAAACCGTCACCACTAAAGGACAACACACTTAGTATAAATATTCCTATCCGTGAAATTCATGCAATTTCCGACAAGCCTTACCTTCGTTTGGGTTTGAGTCCAGCCAATCCTTGATCTCAGATAGCCATGTGCTGAGTTTACCGGAATCTAAAAGACTGCAGGTCGAATGGCACAAATGCCATTCAGAACCGTCCTGGTGCACCTGGGCGGATACTAAGCGGACGCCAGCATCGAGTTGGACAGTAGTATTGTAATGCCTAGCACACACAGGCCAAGTCAGTCAACCAAGTATGGATACCGCGCCGTCGGCTGCAGAGGAAATGCCCAACTCACTGATTCCCAGAAATTGAATTACCAGTCGAACTATCTCGTAAAAATGCGCTATCGTGCGCTCCAAGATGGGTGATTTCACCGTATGACTTTGAACAAAGACTCGGAGAGTTGTTGCATGCTTTGGTCTCTCGAGGCGCGACAGACGTGGCAGCTGCCGCGAGGGGCAGAAGAGCGAGGAGCCCTGCCGCCAACATTTTGTGATGTGAAGCGGCAAGAGACCGTCGTTGGTAGATGCGAGGGGGAGGGAGGACAAGAGGCCTGGATGATTTCGAAGGAGTTGCCTGGCGCACGGGCAGGAGCGATTTGATGACAGTTGGTGATTGGAATGTTAGAGTTGCGTATGCGTATATTTATCGCGTCGTAAATAACAGGAACGCTGCGTGGACGGCTTCATTAACTTAAGGGAGGGAAGGAGAGAAGAAAAAGACATCAAGACGGGAAGACCCAGGCGGCACTGTCTCGTATTTCATGATTATTTATTTGGAAAGAGCCTTCCAACGGATAGTCGTCGATCTGGATGCAACAAAGGTGGGACCGGAGTGGCCATTATTGGTGTGTCACTTGAGTCTGAGACTCTTGGTCCTTTGGCAACCACGCCAAAAGGGTTCGCAGGAGGATTTGCGCTCCAGTCGCTCCACAACACTTGAAGAAATCAGACCTGCGCTATTCTTGGAGACAAATCGGCTGCGGCGCTGACGTTTGGGACGCGCCAGCCTGGCGTGGCGGAGCCAAACAGAGTCAGACGTGGGTTTCCGGGGCATTCGGCGTTGTTTCTTGGCACGCCTATTTATCTGGTATGGCCACAGCTTAAGTGCTACGAGGAATGGGGAAGCTGGAGTCTCAAGACTAATATACACATTATCTGATTATTACTATCGCGTGCTCTCATGTTACATCTTCTGCGATCGTCCTATCGTGTCCCTGGCGTCCGAGACGATGCCGTGGCGGGTCATTGTTCTCAATGTGCGACACATACAACCGAGCGAGACGCTCACCACTAATTAAACGTGGATTCCCGGCAATGTTGATATCTGAGATAACCCGTTCAATCGTGTATGGATTCACTGCACGCAGTGCCCGGTTTCGTCGCCTCGACCAATAAAAGGGACCGTACAGGATAAGCAGGCGTTTCAAGCAGGCACGATAAACTGGCGCCGACTGGACGATGAGGCCTCGATTTTGGAGCTCACGGAGGAGCATTATTCCCCGGACAAACGGAACCAGCCGTTCGTCGTGTCTGCCAGCCATGTGGTAGGACTTTAGCTTAGACGGTTGTATGATGAAACCCCACGAGATTATTGCTTGCTGCATATGGCGGTGAAATATTCTCTGCAGAGTCAAACAGTCACCACGTGGAGCTCTCGCAGCAGTTGCGGAATGTGATGAACTGGCCGAATAGCCGGGATAGCGACGGGCCAACCAGAGGCAACACGCGCGCAATTCGTCCCAGCGATCTGTCATTCCATATCGCTTCAGTAGTTCGTCCCACAACTTCAGTGGAACATTTGCACCCGCCTGAGAGAGACCCTGCAGGTAACGGAAAACAGACGCTAGGTCATGACGGGAGCGGAGATTGACTTGCTGAACAGGTCGACGCCCTGGTCGCCGGGGACCAAAAAGATAATTGACCATAAAAGTTACACTGTATTCATTTGGAGTGAAGCCTTTCATGAGCATATCAGTCACTACCCCTGCGGCTAGCGTTGTCTCTCCTGCTGCGATGTGCTTCCGAACGTGAATACTCATCAAGTCCAATCCATCACCAAGAAGCTCTTTGAGAACCTCTAATGTAAGATTGTATTGTCGCCAATCGCCAGCAATATAATGCGACTTCAGTAAGGCTATCTGAGTCTCGGAATCTTCAAACACATCATGATGCTGATCACTGTTGATTAATTCGGAAAGATGGGCCTGGCGGTTTTCGGTGGCGAGCCGACGTAGCAATCGTGCAAAAATGCTGTCTCCAACTGAGATATTGTTTTGCTCCAATATATCGAGTTTTTCGAGTACATCATGACTCCCGCCAGCTTTCCTAGCCATCTCGCGTAATGACTGGGGCCCAATAGATGTAACACGGAATGTTTTTAAACCAGACAAAATCATATCAAAAGTCAGGGCCTTGGTGGCAAAGACCCGAGCACCAAAACCATCGTTGAATCCGGGATCCTCAAGGTGCTCTTCCGAATCAAATTTGCCAGCCTCTTCGGGCCTAGATGACGTTGAATCGACTGTCTCAGCAGATCCGAACCGCTCCCTTGAGTATTGCCAGAGCATCTCTTTGGTGCTACTGCTCGAGATAAATGCTTCTGCGAAGTCGAGCAATGGTTGGAGTTCCTCCAATGACCGTGGGTGGTCACCTCGCGCAATTAGAAACTCATGCATTTGAAGCAAGTCTCGGGGCTTGCCAGTCGCTATCAACGCAGAAATGACCTGGCCATATACCTGGTGACCGTCCGTATGCTGACATATTTGTTCAAAGGCAATCCGGCGCGCCAGCAGATTATTAGGTGTCTTCATATATTCAGAAATATAAGAGGTAAAACACTGTGCGATATCGTTGGGGTCCGAAAGGTGCGGGTATTGGAGTCGCTTGTGCCAGTGCACAGCTTGACTTGGCTTTCCACGTTTAACATACCAACTCACTATACTTTGGTAAAGTTTGGGCCAACGTTGTCCTGTTTCATTCCACAGTCCTAGAGCATAATCGGCGATCTCGTTCAGAAATCCTTCTCGTTCTAATCCGCAGTCCACAAAGGTTTGCCAAAGCGTATCTGCAGTTTCTCCGTCCACAGGGATTTGAAGTCCACCAACCCGCCTCATTAATCCCTCCCAGATTTGTTGAGTACCAGCGTTGCCGTAATGCCGGCGCCGGTATTTCAGTAACTCTAACCAAAGCCCAAAGTCATTTCGGTGTGCAGGACTATCCACCAAACGCGTGCCAATGTCGCGAGTATGGCCAACATCTGACTCGTAATCTAGGCTCTCCAACTGTACCCCCAGTCTTTGCCAGCGTGTGGATGTTTCGTGTCGCAGCTGTGTACGGGGGCTATTGCGAGGAGACTTTCGATCTTGGTTTTCGTCTAATAGACATCGGTTTTCTGACTCTGGCCTTTGCTTTTCAATGGGATGCACTGTGAACTTCAATGGCTTCGTAGAGGGCTTCGAATGTTCATCCTTCTTCACTACTCGCGACTCGGCGGGTTCGGGCGTTGACGGTTGTGAATTTGATGATTGACATCGCAAACATCTCTTTTCAAGGTCAATCCGCAAGTGCTCAATTGCAGGCGGGCACAATATAAGCGAATCAATTAATGAGAGTGCCGATGGCCTCTTCAACAATCGGAGAAGAGCCGGGCGCATCGGTCTGACAAAGATGAGGGTAATTAGGAACGAGTGCAAGCATCCTGTCTTCCAGATCCTCTATTGGTGGTAATCGTGGAAACTTCGAGGAGTAACAGAGCAACAATCAGACTTTCATTATTGCTGCACGACGCGCGAGCTTTCCGGAGGGAGCTTTGGATAAATTTCATGGGGCGGAGATTATTGTCCGCAAAAACCACCATTCCAGAAAAAGACTAGCCTTGTCACATGATATTAGTAAGAGACTGTCTCTGAAAGGCGGAAGATTGAGGGAAGTCACGTGTAATATGAGCTGCGTTCGGGTCCACACATCTCGACATCAACTGATCGTTCGACTCTCGCCCGTCACTGCTGCTCCTATCCCCTCACAAAACCTCCTCCTTGCACTCATTTACCGCCAAAATGTTCCGCACAGCTCCTCGCATGGCCGGGTATGTCTCCCCGATGTTGTTGGGAAAGTTATCGCAGTTAATGAGGCGATTGGGCACGCATTCACGATCATGATATGCGCTGCTCAATTGGCCGAGTTCTGGCACCACTAGCAACACCACACGTCCCAATTGATACAGGAATTTGCTAACAAAGTCTCTCTCTTTTACAGATGGGTGTTCCGTGAGAACCGCGTCCCCTACTACCAGCGCCTCTTTCAGCAGCACGACGGCAAGCGTCAGTGGTGGCAGGTCAGTTCACGCACAACCCAGTTTTCTCCCTCGCGATAATCGAACGGCCATCTAACGCGGCTTATCTATCTCCAGACTTCCCGCAGCCCGTACATCATGTACCCCTACCTCATCTCCGTCTACGGTCTCGGTGCTGGTGAGTTACTACAACATGGAGACCAATTTGGGTGATTCAGTGCTGACTTGGGTGTAGCTACTATGTACGCCATGGGCCGTATGGTCTTCGTTAGTACCCCCTCTATTACATTCCAAAATTATTCTACGACATGTTGAACGGCGACGGTTTTTATTAAGAAACAATGCTAACATTTACTTACAGGGCCACAAGACCTGGATCTAAACAGATTCTGGAGTGCCATTGATATATTATCCAAATTAGTTTCCCTGGAGCCAATTGGCGGTGTACCTCTATGCTATTATGGGCTGATGGGTGGAAGGATATCGACGTTGTATATAAGCTAGAGCCCCAATGTGCGAATCTTTTCTTCAGCTCGTATCGCTATACAAATACCCGAAATGCGTAGCAGAAAACTTTTCCCTTCATGAGCTTGCAACCTGAATACTGGTAAAAGCCTGTAATATCGGCTTTTCCGGTTTCAAGGCTTCGGATTCGAAAGTTTGGTATTGAACTATCTACTAGTTGTTCTACCCGTTTATTCGCTTACTTGTGGCTAACACGCATCTAATTGTGCTCAATTTTGGGGCCTGACACGATTCAATTTCTGAGAAAAATGTTTATGAGCTCTAGTTAATGGAGATTCATATATCATTAAGAGCGTACAGTCACGAGAACGGCACCAGGGACACTAACGCCTCTAGTCACTCAATGCAGCCCGGAACTGCTCCACAAACGACCACACCTCAGAGAAAGTGTTGTACAGTGGAGCTGGGGCAACACGCACTACACCGGGCTCCCGCTTATCGCAAACAATCGCAGCCTCTTGCAATCTACTGGCCACCTTTTGCAGCAAGCCAGGCTTGAGAAGAAGGCTCAGCTGCGCGCCTCTTTCTTTAGGGTTTGACGGGGTGATGATGCGGAACGGACGAGTGTCGTCTGTTGTGTCTTTCAATAAGAGGTACTCTAGATACCCTGTCAATTGGACGGATTTGTGGCGCAGCTCGGTCATTGATGTTTCGTCGAATACGGATAATGAGCCACAGAGACAGGCTAGGTCAATGGCTGATGGGTTTGAGAGCTGAAAGCCTCCCGCGCCTGGTGTAGGCTTGAATTCTGCCGAAGGATTATGTCAGGATTTTATCCATTGGCAAGTTGGGGGCAAGGCTATAGAATGCGGGGTGAAGGATCTCTTGCTTACTGTTGTCCATTTTGAATCTGACGGATCTATCACCACCGTACCACCCTGTCAACCTGTGCCGGAATTGGGGAGAATCCTCTCCTTGGCTATAATCGACGCTTCCGTGTCTCTCGTGAACGAATAGGCCACCAATGGCCCCAGGCCCAGCATTTCCGTACTTGTAGGTGCACCATGCTGCGAAATCTACGTTCCAGTCGTGGAGCTTCAGCTCGACATTTGCGTATGCATGGGCGAGGTCCCATCCGACGACAAGACCTTTTGACTGTGCGTACTCCGTGATTGTTTTGATGTCAAAGAGTTGCCCGGTGTAGTACTGAATACCTGGGAGGAGGAGCAAGGCTGCCTCATCGGCATGCTGATCGATGTATGATAGGATCTTTTCCGTGGAGATCTTGTACTCCCCATCCTCTGGGCCAATGAGCACCATAGACTGCTTCGGATCGAGTTCATGCCAACCGATGTGCGATTCGATGGCGTACTAGGCCTCGGCGTCAGTTTAGCTTTTGGAGACTGTTTGACGTAGGTACTACAAGAAAAAAGGTAACGTGGCATAACATACATGATCGCTAGGGAATGCCTTCCAATCGAGCAGGATCTTGTGCTTAGTGGCTGTGGGCTTATAGAAGCTGGCCATCAACATATGCAGGTTTGCTGTGAGAGTGGCCATTGCCGTGACTTCCTCTGGTGCCGCCCCGACCAGCTTACACATCGAGCTTGCGGCCTGATCAGCGAGCAGTTGCCATGGCTCGAGGGGGGAGTCTTCAATTTTCGTGAAATGGCCGTTGACCCCGATTGATGACCATGTGTTTAGTTGTGCTTCTAAATACCTCGAAACGGCCTTGGGCTGGATCCCAAGGGAGTTGCCGCAAAAATAAATACAAGGGTCACTTGATAGATCTGGAACGTGGCCTGTTAGGTAGGGGTTCAGAATAACACCGGGGTCTGTTGTGGAACATACTGGGCTTTGCGAGCCTCTTAGAGGCAATATTGGCCTTTGAGGGCACAATGAACTTGTGACGAAAGGCAGCCAACGGATCTGCAGCGTCTAAATATGCAGCGTAGTCTTTGGAGGCTGCATTCTCTGGGAACACAGGCTTCAAGCCGTTGACGTGATTGGACATGGTGAGAACGAAGGAATGCGTCTGGAGAGAGATGCAGAGAAGAAGAGGGACACAGGATGATCCAGAGAAAACATAACGGAGAAGGTGCACAACTTAGCCTTCACTCTTTATAGCGGGGAAGAGGGCGCAGTTGATACGACTAGCAAATACTCCGCTGAAGCTTGCTTCACTACAGTAGAAAATCGGCCAGATCCGCTTCGTTGGGAGGCAGCCCGGATGCTGTTCCGTCCCCGCTGCCTCCAAGTCTCTCAGCCAGCCCGGATGCCTTCCGGGTCCCACTACTGGCTGGATCAATATCGCATCTTCTTCGAATCGCCTGGATTTGCTGGTGTGCTCGTCTAGGTACGTATCACATTTCCTTCACCACCCGTGTCGCAATCTCAGGCCTATCGCTAGCACCACGGTGTCCAACGCATGCACGCCAGTCCGGAAGGTGACACAATGGCGTACTTGGTACCTGTTCCGGGCCTTTGTTTCCAATCCCGACCCTGCTGTTGTCGCTATCCACTGCCTGGTCATTAGTGAATAGTGACTAGTGAATACTGGGGTGATAACATTTAGTTCGAGATCGAAGTCATCCGGGCCCGCTTCTTTCCGCCATGCCATGCACAAACACAGCAGTGCTACTATTTACCATATTTAAGCAGCACCGCATATGTTTACCCTGCCTGATGCTGTGTTTGACAGACCATTTATTTCTCATTCCCCCCTGGTATTCCTAGCCCTGCAAAAATGCTCCACTCACCGGAATTTTCACTTGATGAATACGAAGTCTCTCTTCGAAACGGGTTCCTCCCGGATGCTCTTCCGTTGCAGCGTTTACCAATCCCGTACTACGCCCCATGGGAAAACATCGCACAGGATTTGGTTGCCCGTATACATGAAGGTACAATAAGAGAAGATGTTGAGAGTCTTCCCGTTCTCTCCACCTCGGAGTTACAGACAACGCCGGAATGGAGGAGGGCATATGTGGTACTGGCATATCTCACGCATGCCTATGTCTGGGGCGGCGAAACCCCCAAAGATGTGTGTATCAGAGCCTACATGCTTCAACAATAATGAAGCTAACTGGAGTTAATTCTGCTAGATACTGCCATCAGCCATTTCTGTACCATTTATGAAGGTAGCGGAGCACCTGGAACTACCTCCATGCGCTACATATGCGGCCCTCAACCTGTGGAACTACTCAACTACATCACCCAACTCCGACCTCACGTGTGCTGACAACCTCTCTGTGACGTTATCACTCACTGGGACCAAGGATGAAGAATGGTTCTTCATGATATCGGTTGCCATGGAAGCAAGAGGCGCCCAGATCGTCCAGTTAATGCTCGATACTATCCAAGCGGTTACAGCCGGCGATCACCAGCGGGTAGCCGCATACCTTAATCAGATCAATGAGGGATTCCATGAGCTATCCCGGATACTAGAGCGAATGTACGAGAAGTGTCGCCCTGCCGTATTCTTCCACCAACTCCGTCCCTACCTCGCCGGAAGCAAGAACATGGCCTCGGCTGGCCTACCAAACGGTCTGTTCTATGATATCGGGGATGGAAAGGGCGAGTGGCGTCAATATAGCGGTGGTAGCAATGCCCAAAGCTCGCTTATCCAATCATTTGATGTATTCCTGGGTGTCGAGCACTCGGCTATGGGGAGCCCTACTAAAGCTGAGCTTCCCAAAGCCCAACCGTTGGGAAAGACTCCATACATACAGGTAAGCATTGCTCTTTGCTTCTCACCTATAAGCAGCCAAATCCTAACTCCACTCACAGGAAATGAGAAACTACATGCCCGGCCCTCACCGGCGATTCCTAGAGATGCTCACCCGAAGCTCGAACGTCCGGGAATTCGCAATGGCCTGCAAGCTCGGTTCATCTGTAAGAGATGCATACAACTCGGCCGTGATGTCTCTGGGTTCCTTCCGCGACAAGCATATCCAGATCGTAGCAAGGTATATCATTATGGCGGCGAAGCTCCCTCCTCCAGAATCAGCGCCTGTACGATTAAACCTGGCAACATCGACACATACGCAGATGAAAAACTCGAATGAGAAGGTTTCGGCGGGGCTTAGTGGGACAGGGGGGACTGATTTGATACCCTTCTTGAAGCAGACTCGTGATGCGACTAAGGCTGCAGCGAACTATGCCGGTTGAGTTGGGTTGGGCTGGGGGTTGAGTACTTTAATGGGAATGATTATTACGACCCTAATTACGTATATAGTGGTAGAGATACACCCTTCCTTTATTTTATTAGCCTTAGCGAGCATGAAACAGAATCAACCAGTTCATCATCAAGCCAAACGACAACTTAGATGTGTATACTGGTTGATAATTTCAAGTTTTTGTTCGGATAATGAGTTGCCGCTATCTAGTTTAAATATTGCTAGTCGAGTAGGACCCGCGCGGTGTGTTTCCAAAATACATAATTCAATCATTGCATGATGCTGAACGCTCGAAGACGCATGTGGAGTCTGCATAATATGCCTCGCTCGCACAGGTGGGCCATCCTATGACTCTGATTCGGGGCCTGGAGGTCGCATTTATTGTGGCCTCTTTGCGAGGGAAAGGCGGGGGAGAACCATACTCCTCAGGAGGTATCGAGGTCGAATATGTCCTGTCATCTGGCGGTGTGAACGCACGGGGCTCCTTCGAGGGCATGCCAGAAAATATCGAGTGCTCGTTTGAATATAGTGGACTAAATCCTGGCTGAGACGTTTCTAGTCGTGGGTATCGTCTATTAAAAGGTTATCGTTTATCTCTTCTTGTGAGACTGCGTCGGAACTCCTTCGCTTTCCCGTAGCTCCGCTAACCGCTTCTCCCGTTCAATAAGTCGTTCTTTTTCATCCTTGATCATCTGTTCCACAGTCTTATTGGCTTCGCTTAGCCTGTCGAGCTCCTTATTTTCCGCCGTCCTGCTATAAGGGTTGTCGGCTGTCTCGTTATACGGGATCTCGGCCGTCCTCCCACCCCGCTGTTGCTGAGCCTGTTTCGCATTTTTCCCACCCTTTCCCTTCTGTGGCTGAGGTGTCCCCGACCCTCCAGTAAGGTACTCATAAAACTGTTCCACGGGCTCATTGAACACAACCTCCTCGTAATTCTGACTAACGACGACCTCCCTGCGCTCCTTCATACCTTCTGCATCGGGACCGTACGGGTGTAGCTTTAAACTATGCCAAAGTGTCTGCGGCTTCTCGGTCGATTCTGGAACGAAGTAGATCTTGATCTGAATTTCGAATTCACCCCATCCGGTCTCGACAACCTCATAGGGCGCGTTCTCGACCGTGCGAACATTTTGTGCATACGTCTCATGGAGTTTGAATTGCACTTTCTTTAACCAGTAGGAAATATCTTCACCGTTGACACCCCGGACGTATACGCGCCATTGGTGGGTGTGATCCGCAGGTACACCTTCTGGTTTGGCGTCTGGATCGAATGGTGTCGCTTCGCTGCCAAAGACTGCGTAGAAATTAGTTATTGGCGTTCACATTTGTTTTGCAACATCTGCAAATAGAGGACATACTGAATGGTCGAAAAATTGAGACACCCTTGTAACTCTCACGTCAATCTTAAATCCCTTATCTTGACTCTGCGTGGCACTCACCCTGACTCGTTTGGTACCCGTTGCGGAGGGCATATTGTCGGTTCCAGTATAGTATTGAGATTGGTATAGTTCAGTTTATCCGTGAGCGGCAAATTTAAAAACTTGAAAAGTTGCAAGGTTGAAGCTTGATGAGAATCCGTGTCGCGTTCTCTCTTTTCTCGGCGCAGGGAGTGGCACGTGACAATGCGGAGCGATAAGAGCCCCGATAAGAACCGTGGGTACAATGCAGGTGGTGCCATCGAGCTCCGGCAGAGCTTCTTCCGCAGTGGTTTCTGCCGTCACAGCACATTCATATTTGTCCAAGGCGCCAACGTACCGGTCATAAGCGTATCTAATTATTTCGCTTTCCAATTGAGCCGAAAACGCGCTGTATTTGGAAACAATGGCCTCCAAGAAACTTGTTGTCGCGGGTGGAAATGGATTCTTGGGTATTCCGCTGCGCTCAACCTCATATCTCATACCTGCTAACTAGCACAGGGTCGAGGATTTGTAAATCTGCTGTCGCAAGAGGCTGGACGGTCACTTCACTCAGGTATGACTCCCCTTTATTGTGGCCGTATTCGTCTCGCCAATCTAATTTACTCTTTCAATAGTCGATCTGGAGAACCACGGTGGGATGCCGTCACGAGCTCGCCTCAGCGTCCGGGATGGGCGAAGTCGGTGGAATGGGCTAAAGCGGACATACTGAAACCCGATACGTATAAGCCTTTTCTAAAAGAAGCATCGGCGGTGGTTCATAGCATGGGCATTCTTCTTGAAGCCGATTACAAAGGAGTAGTTCAAGGGCGGGAACCGATCATATCAGGCTTACAGAGGGCCTTCAGCTCGTCGAAAAGAGGAAGCCAAGATCCTCTTCAGAGGAAAGAGGGTGAGGCGCTCAAGTCACAGGAGCAGAATGGTCAATTTACATATGAACTTATGAATAGGGATTCTGGTAAGTACGCTATAAATTTATCGCAGAGCAAGACTAACACCCTGTTTGCGATTGCACAGCTATTGCTTTAGCGCAAGAGTCCTTAAACGAGCATGCGTCGACCTTTGTGTACATTTCTGCCTCCTCAGGTGCCCCGATACTTCCAAGCCGGTATATAACAACCAAACGAGAAGCGGAAACAACGATATCCTCCCAACTTCCGGAACTGCGAAGTGTCTTCATGCGACCTCCGTTCATGTACGACTCAAGCAGGAAGTTCACCTTGCCCATAGCCCTTGGCGGTTTTGTTGGATCGCAATTCAATCAGCTTTTGGGTAACAGGTTGAGTTTCTTTGGATCGATGGTGGACAAGCCGTTTCAGGTGGACACTGTAGGCGAGGCTGTGGTTGAAGCACTGGATGATCCGTCGATAAGCGGACCAGTCGGACCGAGAAAGATCGAAGCCTTGGCCACTAAGGCGTGGAGAAAAAGCATGCTCTAAATGGCAGTCACTGATTGTTCCACTGCCTCGTCGTGAAATTTCGCTGACTGGATATTCAAAACTGCGGCCGCAATGCGCCGCGTGCACTGTATATTAAATGTAGCAATATCATATCATAGTACCTCGTTCAAAACTATCACGGATCTCGGTCGTGTACTAGAAAATGGTTAATTCATCATATCCGTGAGAGCTCAATGAAGTGGGCACGAACCTTGTTGTAGAAACGAGCAAGCTTCTGGTTGAATTGCTTGTTCTTTTCGTTAATGTACGTGACGTCGGAGTCTTCCTCGCCTCCGCGACGGTCTCTTCTCTTCTTCAGGCGGACCTCTTCTGCCTTCTGCAGGTCTCCAACGAGCTTATCGACGGCGGCACGGTCAGGCTTGCTGTCAGTAAATCCAACGGTGTCAGCAGTTGAATAGAAACTGCCATTCTTATCAACGGCAATCATCTCTCCATCACTGGTTTCGACGATTTCAAGATCGCCATTCGCAGCAGCTTTTTCGATTGCTGCAAGCTTGTCGTTCTCGTAACCTTCCAGATCAGGTTTCATCTCCCGCAGCTGCCGCTTGTACACTTTCCGGGCGTCCTGGGTATAATCCTGGAATGCAACGTCGTCTCGGTGGCGCTGCTTCTTTTCCATCCGCCTATCCCATTTTTCGGACTCGTCGACAGTCCAGTCCCACGCCCGTTTACGCTCAAAGTCCTCGCCAGCCGCCTCTGTATCAGCTTTCAGTAAGTTGTGAGAGGCGAATGCATGTTTGCGTGACAACGAGGATAGAACGGATGGATCTGTCGCGAGTCGCTGGGTTTCGGCCGCTGTCTCTTTCAGGTTGCGCTCGGTTGCAGATTTCTATTACAGCATTAGATTCAGCGGCGCGGTGGGGATCCGATTTGAAAATTACTTACAGCGCGCGCTTGGAGTGCTTTGAATCTCTCCCGTCTTGAGCGGGCTTTTGCAGCTGAATCATCCTCCTTGCCTTCTGTCTGCTCTGTTTTCGAGGGTTCATCCGACGAGTTGGACTCTGCTCCCGATTTTGTCGGCGTTTCTTCAGCGACCTCAACCTCGGCGGGTGGTTCCAGAGAAGTCTGTTTGGGTTCGTTTGCGGCTGACATGGCGATTTAGGTGACCTCAATTATCCGACCAGCAGAAAAACGGCTTTATTTCCAAGGCGAGGGGTGGGTATCTTTTGATGGAATTTGGTTAAACGGAACTGTCGCAAGCATCTGACGTTCAAATAGAGAAACAACCGCAGAGATCCAAAGGCGCATTCAACTTAAGACTGACCGCTTTATTCACCGCCTCCATTGTTTAGCGCACTACGTCAGGTGATCAGAACGGGCTCGGTCCCTGGTGGACGTTGGACGTTGGAGATGTTGGCAACAGCTCGCATTACTCTTGGTGTTGAGTTTTGGTTTCTATCGAATGTGAGTCTCTCATGATTGAGCATGTTTGTTATCGCCTTGGGCGGCCAGCTCGGCGGGCATTCTATGGGCTACGACCTGCATTGCGACCGTTCCGCGGCAATACTACGAGTGCCATTCACAGCAATCGCGGCCCTGTGCAGTCCGAACTACTCAGATTTGCTCTGACTAGGAAAAGCCAAACTGAGAATCCGGAGTTAAACTTTGAGAAGCTCTTTAGAGACTTGTTTCTGGAGCAATGGCCTTTCAACTCCGCTCCAGCCCCATTGTGGACCACGAATCCAGGAGATCCATCCTCAACGAAAGCTGCCCTGAACCGAGCAGAACATCTTCACAGCCTACAACATTTCATAGAGAGGGAGTTGGCCGATACTACGGTCGGAGATGATTTTATGACCCGGTATGGAAACGAGTTTAGAAGGGCAATAAAAAGCTGCGAGCGGCACCACACATATGGCGACATTCTTTCGTTCATCAACGGGGTCGATACAAGACTAAAGCGACTCGGTAGCAGGATGCATGTGGATTTTCACTCCTTGGGTATATACTATGCTTGTCTCACCTTGTCTGAGTGCTCTCTGGACTATCATATGCGGTGTTATCTTGCTGCTGCCGATTCGCCCATAAAGAAGTTCAGCGAAGAGGAGAGTCTTTCTCTAGTGAAAGGTCTCTTGTCATCCCTCCAGTCCGTGTCTTTTCAGGATCCCACGCGCGACACGAGTAATTTACTTCGTTTGATCAATGGGGAGCCCCAACCAGATGCCTCAAATCTGCATCAAATACTCCACTGGTCCAGAGACGATGCCAAAATGAGCCAAGTAGAGGATTATCTGGCCCTCCTCGCCCAGACCGGTGACACCACCATTCGTCGTCTTATGTGGGAAAAATATTTGCGCAGTGACGAATCCGAGCTCACAAGCTTTCACTCTGGGTACGTATACGCCGCGTCCATGGTCCGTGCTGGAAAGTCAGACGATTCCTTGGCTGCGCTGAGGACACTGTCGAAACGTGCTGGAAATAATTTACCTCGTATATCTGAGTTTGAAGATTTGAATGACCTTTTGGGAAACGACGCCATCAACGAAGAATTATGTCAGCTTGTCAGTGAAGAAGAGTACGCAAAGATTCTCTACGCCCAGATTAGTGAGGTTGAGAAAAGACTCGGGCTTAGAGTGGACGACCAAATCCGCAAAGGAATCTCTGACCCCTCTGCTGGCGAGCAGCCTCTGATCACCATTGATGGAGATAGCTCTGGTTTTGAAAGCCCCGAGAGGCTGGTTGCAGAAATTAAGGCTCTCGGGTGCTCTAAATACGCCGCCGACCTCAATAACATCGGCGATTTACTGGACGAGTTTGATGGAAGCTTTATACCTACCTGTGTTCCTTCATGGCCAGGCTCCGATGCGGAATTCTACTGGGCACCTCAACGCTCGTCGGTTGGACTCCACAACACGCCCTGCCAAAAAGTCGACGACTTCCCGGACGCGTCATTATTGGATTCAGGACTGGTAAAAGTTACCCCAGGTCATAACCAAACCTCGTATGCTTTTGGACAGACTCTCCATTTAATGCAGCTTGGATATCTTCTCGTGAAACGGCAACCACCGACCTTTGGAGGACATGTTGATGCTTCACCTCAACTGGAAGAAACCGGATACCTGGTTACCTGGGACCGGGCTTCTCGTAGATTCCTGATTGTTTTCGCCGGGGTCGAGCATGGAGTGGTCGACCCTCTTACTGAGTCCCACATCCGTGCTGGGCCCTCCGGTAAGGATGCAATTATGGAAATCAACCCCCTGAACTACAAACATACGTTGGGTCCAGACATATATATTCCCAACTACCGACTTCAAATGGATCCGAGCCCCGATTTGATTTTCGACAAGCGGACGTGAATCGTCCAGCGTGACAAGCAAAGAATCTAGTTGAGGCTCAAATTAGGGCTACGATGAATCGACAAACGCAGTATTTCACTGGCAGGTATACGATCGGGATTGCTTTGCAGTATCAAAAATCAAGATCAATGTATCGGCCGCAATGTTATAAAGTCATTGGTTGATCAGTTACCAAATACATATATACTGGTCGGAGCACCGTCATAGTGTATACTTACTGCATTAAGTATCTGTGAGGAGTGAAATAACATTCTCCACTACCTACTACCTCACTCCTTTATTACTACAATGCAGATATACCATCATCACCCACCACATTGCTTATTCGATCCCAATATCCAAGTCTTCTTCCAATCTGACCCTCCATAGCCGAATTTTCCAGCTCAACACCATTTCAGATCATGTATATATCTCCCCATCCCCCGCAGCACAAACGACCAGCATCAAGTCTGCCGTCGCATCATTCAACATGCGCACCTGACTCCCACTAGGCGGAATTCCCTCGTCCCAATGAATCGCTGGCTCCGATGGAATAAGACTCACAGAATCCCCCTCGAACGGATCCCCAAAGACATCGGACAGATCATACCAAACAGTATCGTTAACAAGATTATACGCAAAGACTGTCTGCGGAGCACTGGTGTACAGCCCATCCGGAACGGTGGTGATCTTGATCGCAATACCACCGGTCCTCGGGTCGCTTCTAAAGACCTCGTAGTACTCCATGCCCGGGTACAGGACAATCTCGGAGCTAATATCCTGCCCGACGGACCAGAGATAGATGGGCATGGGGCAGTTGTTGTTGACGACGGCCCGGCCGAGGGGAATGGTCTCGTTCGGTGGCATCTGCATGATTTTGTTGTCTTTCATGTCGGCCATCCTAACTGGGGTAGCTGCGCCGAGGGCAAATGGTGCGGCTAGGGCCGAGGTGACGGCAAGGAGGGAGGCGAAGCTGAGATGCATTTTGAGTTGGATTGGGTGGATGTTTTTGGCTTTGCTTTTCTTGTTTTGGGGACTGGTCCTGTTCGATGCTTGGCTATTCGTCGATTCCAACGGCTTCAAGTACACCTTTATATCCCTCTCCCTTTCACTGCAGGCCTCTTTCATTCTTCCCCTATCCGAGATGCAACGGTAAATTTATAGCATCCCAGTAGCCCAGCGTTCCAATTACACCCGTTCTCAAGGTCTCTTCCCACCCGGGAGGGAGCGTGCAACCATACGATCCGGACCAAAAGACGCAATTCCGTACCAATAAAGAACCTTTCATCTCCTTTTATTGTTGCTATCATAGTCAATTCGAATCAAGGGTACCCCCTACACCCGAACTGCTCAGTGATCAGGGATAAACATTATGGGAGGCAAGGGTCATACAAGAGACCAACTCATTCCACCCTTATCCAACGATCAAGGACATTGCGATCTAATGGTAGGACAGCAGGCGTACCTGCATGAACGCATGAACAGGTACAGGCATGCGCCTAGGTATCCGGATAACACGAGACATCGACACTGTAGCAGTGCTAGTAATTACCGCTTTAGTGGATGTATGACAGCTCCAGGGCAGCCGGAGAGCTAGTGTGGGTCATGGGAAACCTCCGAACTTCGATATAGAGCAAAAGAATCACGACATAGTCAGAAACAGATTCAATCTAGCTAAATGTGGAGGTGAAAGCGACTGCCGACCCGACGATCTCTGGCTTGGACGGAGGCAGATGGAATGGCCCGATTGTTGAGGAATCGAGTGGTGATAAAGTGGCCGTGATCACGACATGGACCCAGACGATGAGGAAATGCGATCGGTCCATATTTATTTTAGGCGCGTCGGCTAAACAACTACAACGAGAGCTTATTTTGATGACGTGGGCCGGTGAATTGCGGCCTATCTGAGAGAAATAATAATGCTGATACTACTAATAAGCAATAGCAACACATATATGGTGTATATACATGATGAACCTCTTTCAATGTACATCTTCGGCTCAGACCCGCCGGCGGTTCGGGCGGGAACTGTCCCTGGTGTCACAGACTCAAGAGAGCCACGATTCACAAACTACCATTGACAGTACAAGGATAATGCGACCAGCGTTTCCATCTACTGAGACTCTTCTGGCTCCGTGGTCTCTGACTCCGTGTTCTGTTCAATGGACATGACTTCGGACGTTCCCAGCGGAATGGTATCCTTTCGGGCAGTGACCTGAAGGAACCCGCCACGCAAGCCATGCAGCTCAATGTTAGCTTCAAAGCCGTCCCGCTTGAGAATGGCTTCGAATTTGGGCTCGGACGCGTCGGAATAAGGCGAGGAGTTAATGACCCAGTTGTCGTACTCCGTCGCCCCGTTCCAGCTCATGTGGAGCATGACGGAGTCTGGACCTGTCCGTTGAACGACCAAAGCAGGCTTCCAGAATGGAGTCGCCTTCCACGGGCATTTATAGCCGCGGTATGATGCAACCGCGTTGTCCTCGCCGAACCCAACGGTGAGGACCTCCTTCCCATCCGCGTCGAATTCTTTTACTCGTGCGATTGAACCGTAACCCAAGACTACGTGGTTGGTCTGTTCGCTGAGGAGCTGGTAGCTTCCTTGGCTGACACTGTGGATTACATCGTCTTCGTCGCTCAGGACCCGGAGTGTTTTGGCCTTGTGGTTGACCAAGTCGACCTCATAGCTCAGACCAGTGGTCGCTGCTACCGAGTCGGACGGGGTGTTTGCGTTGTTGAACAGATTCATCACAAAGCCCTCCTCGGTCTCGTTGTATATGCGGATGTCATGTTGCCAAGAGAAATCGCCATTCTCATCGATCTCAAAATCGCCAACGCCTTTCTCGCCCTGATGGAGGTCAGTAACAAGTTCATGTACCTTGGAAGAGAAAAAAGAAGATGGGGGTAAACGTACGCATAGTCTCCACATGATAGTACCATTGTTGTGGACGAAATATGCAGACCAATAGTGTCGGAGCGAGATAAGGTACCCATCCTCCATGAGTTCAACTGAGTTGATATGGTAGGCATCATAGGGCGTCTCTTGGGTTCCAACATCTTCTCCCCAGAGCTGCTTCGATTCTTCCAAAGGCACTGCGTCCAGGTGGTCCAGAGCACTCCAAGAAAATACAATTTCGTTGGTTGCGATATCGATCTCATAGAACTGAGAGTCCAGCATAAAGCTGTCCGGCGCGCCGCCGAGAGCCGTCAGATCTTGTTGGGTTACATTGTAAGCCGTCACCAGCAGCGTATTGCGATGCGACACACGGCTTTCGTGGAGATCAATGTATGATTCGCGCGGTTGGCCGTCTGGAGAGACAAAGTCACCATTGAGTGTGACGGTATTGATCTCGCGATAAGTGTTGTCGAGAATGTGGACGGTGCCGTACCCAAAACCCAAGTCCGTCATGACACCCGCCCAAAAGGTAATGACATCCTCGTTGAAAAGTTTCTGGACCATGAAGTTGGCGGTAACCTCTTGCGGTCCCTGGTAGATTAGTTGGGCGTTCTCATCGTATATAAGAGCGGCGGTTCCGCGCTCTTGGTTTCCACGGGGCCCGATGAAGATGTACCCGGGGTCCGTTTCGCCGCTCTTCTCTACCGAAACTTTGGGAGGAAGAAAAGGTTCAGTCTGCAGGGTCATGAATGGCCAGTTGTCGGCGCGGACTCCCAGGGACAGCAGTAAGGTGCTGCAGACAGTAAAAAGCCGGCCCGCCATCCTGCATGCGGGTATCAATATATTCAAATGCGAAATGAAAGTAGGTATATATACAGGCGATAACGAGTGTGGCAAAAATGAGCGAACGACTGCGATATATTAAACAGGAGTAGGTAGAAGAAACAAAAGAAAACAATATAACACAAAGGAGGCCGGATACTGGTCAACAGCATATCTTCCTGGCCAGCATTTAAACGAACCGGCCAGACGAGATGAGGATGAGGGATTAGCCACAGCAAGTGGCAGCGCACTCCACCGCCTTTGCTGCGAAGCCTTCAAGAGGCTGACCGCCAGGGCACGACCCCAGAGGACGCGCAATTCTGCGGCGCGGGCACGAAACAGCTGCCAACGAGCGAATGACGATCTTCATGGGCTTCAAATCAATTGCCATCTTGGGCGTGTCATCCTGTGTCAACCAAAAAAAAAAAACATAGTCAAGGTTGTCGAAACGGCAGTTGTCTCTAGTTGGGTAGCCACGCGGCGGAGGCGACCTCATTTTGCCGGCCAATGGTTCCGCTGTCCCTGTTCTCGCGTGGTTAAAAGCTTTAAGCGTCCCAGATTCTGATGCTGTGGCCTCAGGCCGACACCCGCGACAAAACTTTATGTTGCTTATGCCACTTATGCCCATTCCAAATTCGGGTTAGCTCGAAACCATAAACTAACATTCTTTGGGATACGTTGCCGACCGCGTTTTTTACTCCTTCGAGACATGGAAATCGGCCTGGACAGAGCATCAAGGGGACCAAAGCTCACAGTCTCCATCGAATTGGAGAACTTCTTTGGCGTTTTGTCGCAGAAGGATTGAATCCTGTGGCTCCTGAAACTTTCCAGGGCCCGCTATGTCTGAATCTTCTGAGCCCAATCTTCGAGGTCGCTCGGTACCGTCTGCTCGCAAAATGGCTGGTATCGAATGCAGTAGGGTAGCATTTCCCCGCGTTCGACATCTCCACACGCTCATACGTCCATGACATAACGAGTCCAGAAAGCAATATCTCTGCCGATCCTCAGCCTGAGATAGAAGAGGTGAAGCTCCTGATACTTGATGGTATGGGAGATATAGTAAAGACTAGGGTGTTGTCAGACTACCGCATGCGGCCGGACAAGCTTCTAATTCGATACTGCAACTAAGCTCAACAAGAAGTAAGCCGGTCCAGTTTTGTCTCGACTGGGTAGCTTAATCCTTCATGAGGTGATATCGAAAACTAGCCGATCATTTGACAAAGATGTCGTGATCTCGCCTGCCGAGTCATATATCTTCTGGCCCCCCTTGCGATGATCCATAGCTTTAAAAAAACTCCGATACCACCAGCCAAAACTCCAACCATCACATCTCTTCCCCTGACAAGTCTGTAAGGGCTTCTTGTTGGCACAACATGGGTCGAAAGCTAGGCCTTGTCCGGGCCTGCTATCTGGCCTCGGCTAGTTGCATGGGCTCTTTTGCTTTCGCCTTCGACACTGGTGTTATTAGTATGTCGCTCTGATCTCTGATTGCTCAAAACTGTCGCTTATATGCATCGCAGGTGGCGTCCTCACACTCGAGTCGTTTCAGCGAGACTTTGGATACGGGGAAGCGCAGAAAACAACAGTCAACTCCAATGCTGTCTCCATCCTTCAAGCCGGTGCCTTTTTCGGCTGTTTCTTCACGACGCCCATCGCATCCCGGCTCGGTCGTCGAACTGGCCTGATTATCAGTTCGCTCGTCTTCACGGTGGGAACAATCTTGCAGGTTGTCAACGCCCATACCCTAGCCACATTCTATGCGGGGCGCGTGATTGCAGGGCTCGGGATCGGTGCTGCCACAGTGTTGATCCCCATGTACTCCGCCGAGATGGCCCCGAAGGAGATGCGTGGTCGGCTCGGTGCCTGCTTCCAGTTGTTCTTTGCCTTGGGCGTGATGATCGCATACTGGGTCACCTTTGGCGTGTCACAGACCCAACCGAACGAGACCAGGCAGTGGCAGATCGCGTTGGGCCTGCAGCTGCTACCTTCGACTTTACTGCTGATCGGGATGGCCACCGTCAAGGAAAGCGCCCGATGGCTGGCGGTCAAGGGCAAGAGAGACGAGGCTTGGGAGTCTTTGAAATGGGTTCGAGGTGGAGAGGAGACCCCAGAGTTGCAAGAAGAATTCGATGAGATTTTAGCAGGTATTGAAGAAGAGGCTCGTGTTAGAGATAACTTCTCCTGGCGTGAGCTTCTTCTGCCAGCAAACCGATACCGAATCTTCATCGCCATCACGTGCCAGTTATGCGCGCAACTCTCAGGTAATTTTTGAAAGAGGCCAAACATCTTTGAAGAGAGTAAATACTGACTGGTCCTCCACCAGGAAACACAAGTTTGGCTTACTATGCCACACAAATCTTCTCAGCAGTGGGCGCCGGGAGCTCGTCAAAGCTAGTGACAGGCTTCTTCGGCGTGGTCAAGGTAGTCGGTGTCAGCATCTTCCAGCTCTTTGTTATCGACAGAATCGGGCGAAGGGTGCCATTCATGGTCGGTGCTGCAGCAATGGGTTCATTCATGCTCATCATCGCTTGCGTGCTAGCGACTCACCCAACAAGTTCAGGTGGGGAAAGCTCAGGAGCGACGTCGGCAGGAATTGCCATGATAATCATGGTTTATGCGGAAGCATTTAGCTTCAACATGTCCTGGGGTGCGCTGCCATGGCTATACATTGGCGAAATCTTCTCGAGCCGGCTTCGAGAAGTCGGTGTTACGGTGGGCGCTGCGTCACAGTGGCTATTCAACTTCATGATGTCCCAGGTGACGCCCCACGCTATTGACAATATTGGGTGGAGGATGTTCTTGATGTTCGCGATCTTCAATTACGCGATTGTGATTTATTCGTGGGTATTCTTGAAAGAGGTATGTTTCTTGCCCTACCCTAAGGTTTACAGGGTTCCCCGCTCCTCGCGAGTCTCGGGCTCTCGGCCTTTGCAAATATAAGCTTTTGTGCTAATGGGCTTATTCGCAGACCTTGAAAGTCTCGCTGGAAGAAATGCAGGGTGTGTTCGGGGCAGCCGCCCAGCACGACGGGAAGCCGACAACGGTGGAAGCGGAGGAGACTGCGACTGCAGGCAAGTAGAGTGGACAAGAACGTGCGGTATTTTACAATTCAATTTTCGTATCTTCCTCTCAACCCGGAGAATTGTGATCCTTCGATCAATAGTTAGGAGATAGAAGCAAATGAGAGGCTATTGAGAGCAAGTGCCGAGCGTTGTCTTTCCCCAGGGACGGAGATTTGGGGCTGTCCGGATTGGCTGGTGCCCCGAATCTCCACAGGCACCAAGGAACCTCCAGCCCTAAGGTCCCTATATCTCGCTCTAATATTCGCTCTCTCCTTGCAATTGGCACGGCATTTGGAATGCCACGTACTAAGCAGGGGGACGCGCGCACAAGCCCCCATACCCCGCGCTCCCCAGATGCTTCTCCGGAGTAGAGTCAGGAAAAGGGTCAGAAATGGGCGGGGACTTGCTCCTAAATTTGAATACGGCCCGACATGGGGAGTTGGAGACGCCAGTGATCTAGTGGGGCCCCGGGCGTCGAATCGTCGAAGAATGAGCAAGCATGGCGCGCGAACAAAGACCACCCGGGTCGTATTGATTCGTTCGTCCCATTTTAAATGCAGCCTATAGGAGGCAAAAGATCCCAAGAGTTGTGTATTCCCCGTAGGTCAGCCACCCGGGGTCCCTTTGTCTCGGTACCTGATACGACTGATGACATGTGCACGATATGACAGATGTTCCTTATAAGTACACCCCTGCCAGCTCCTCCCACGGCTTTCTACCCCAGATTGTTGTGCGCCATGACCATTGCAGCCCCACGTGTTTTCCAATGTCCGAATCCTCAAATCGCATCACCCGTCCCACGGACCCGGACGGTCTGGTCCTCGAGGCCTGGGGTCAAGGCCTCATGGTTGGATCGTTGGTGGTGATGGCCGCAGTCACATTCAGCAATATGAAAAGGCACATCTTGCTCCACAAATTGATTTTTGCAGAGGTATCTATCTGCCTCATCATTTATATCCGTGGATCGGACATTGACGCAACCACTGTACTTATAGCTCATCCTCGCCATCCCACATGGGACATGGATCTTTTCCAAAGAGCCGGTCTATGGCTGGCATCTCTCCGCTAGTGCTATAGGCCTGAACGTCTCGTGGAGTCTGCACAATGTGATTGCGTGGATGAAGAATAAACCGTTTTTCTCAAAGCGTATCTCCTGGTTTTACATCATCACTGTGCTGCTGGTCCAGCCGTACTGGGTTCTGGAGATCTATGCCAACTTCACATACTTTAATAATATCAACAAGATCTTTTTGACGACGAGGCCTCTAGAGCCGTTGTTTCGGTTTGTGCTTCCCCTATTTTTGGTTCTCTTATATTCGTTTATTATAGGGTGAAGGCTAACGTTTTCGTGGTGATATAGAGATCCGTGGTGGGTGCTGACGACAATCTCCCTCTTTTACACTATTAAACGCGAATACAATTTCGGGATTGTGGAGCTCGCCACTGTTAGTCCTCGGTTCGGAATTATGCTTGCCTCGATGTGCCTTTCTCTTGCGTTTGTCGTAGTGGATGAATGCAGTGTTCTCGGCGCCTTCAGTAGCGCGTCTCTTCCATCGGGAGTCCAGCCATTTTGGAAGGTGCGTATTACTTCGCCTTCTGGAATTCTCAGTAGTTGTTGTGAGGTTCTAAGCTGATAAATATAGCTCTCCTTTATCTTCAAGTGTCTCTGCGATACCGTTATCCTCGACGATTTCAAGACGGCTCTTGATCAACTGCGGACATATTGGTTCCAAAAGCACGCTCAAGCAGGCGACGTACTTCTAAATATAGGCTCAGGACCAACTCGCCCTGGCTATCCTCTGAGAGCGGTGGGTGGGAATGGGGATGAATTCGAAGCACTGTCGGGCAGTGATGGGCGCCACGGAAGTGATCTGGGGAAGGGGGCGTCTGTTCATTTTCCACGCGCACATACAAGGGGCAGTGCGGGACGGTCACCTGTTTAGTTCTGAAATAGTCCCAGAGATCATGAAGTAATGATGCGCAACTGTGATACCTGGCGTAATATGCCGATATGATGCTGTTAGAGCATACAAAGATATGCGATTAATAGAAACAATTTGAAGATGAATATATATATATCTATCTATCTATCTATAAACATAAATGGGTATATGCAGATCTAGAACGCAACGTCGAGGTCAATGCTAGGAAAGAGATCCCTGGTCTACAGCGGCGACCAGAATCTTGCTGGCTTTTAGTGAAACCTTCTCGTCCTGCCAGATATGGGGTGATGTGCTTGACAAATTCGATCTGGTCTAGAAATAGGGCTGTCCGCGGGCCTCTGAGGAAGCACTACACGAGTCGGTCCTATGTTGCGGATGCTGCTGAATAAAGCTGCCCGCTCAGGTGGTTGACCCAAGGTACGAGTTTGGTCCTTTCCGTTTGGCCTAAGTGACCATCCAATGAATGTTCCACCATTTGTTACCGTATCTGGGGACTGAATGAAGCCTTTCGCGGATGAAGGTACTATGCGCCAAAGCCCAGAGGCAGAAACCGAGTTTGTTAATCGAGAGACAGTAGTCGGCCCAAGTTCCCGATGCATTCACGAAGAGACAGCTCGGGCCCCAGGAAGGTCATCGAACCAGGGGTGTCGTAGTGCATCGGCAGCACTGATGCGCAGGTCAGGTGGAAGACGCAACATACACCTAAGCAGGTCGAGACCCAATGGATCGATTCTAGGGACAATATGTCGGAGATCCTGAGCACCATAGACGGGAAAATTGCTTTTATACTCCGGAAACTGCGATACGCCTGGCCAGGTGCGTTCGGCTGGCGTACCCATGACACGGAAGACTCTCTGAAGTTGATCTTCATTTGTTGTGCCCGGGAACAGCGCACGGCCAGTGAACATCTCTGCAATAATGCAACCAATTGACCAGACATCGATGCTAGTATTATAAGTGCGGCTCCCAAGAAGCACGTCCGGCGCGCGGTACCAAAGTGTCACGACTTCGTTGGAGAATGTATTGACTGGGATTCCGAATGCGCGCGCGAGGCCAAAGTCGGCGAGCTTGAGCTGGCCCTTGGAGTTGATAAGTAGATTCTGGGGCTTGAGATCGCGGTGGAGAATTCGATTGTCATGGCAAAATGTTATACCCCGCAGGAGTTGAAAGGAGAATGACTTTATGATCGAGGGTTCCAACTGGCCGTGATTGCCGTGAGTATCCATGTAGCGCTTCAAGTCTTGGTCCATATATTCGAAAACCAACATGAGTTTGTTCTCGGTATGGACGACGTCGTAGAGTGATAAAACGTTGTCGTGGTGGAGCTCCTTCATAAGCGAAATCTCGCGAATCGCTGTCGAGGGTGTTCCTTCTTCTGAGTCGAGGTGGATCTCCTTCAACGCCACCATTTCCCCTGTCTGACAGTTTCGGCCTTTGTAGACCTAGAGGGGATAGGTGAGTTAGAGGGATCAAGGTCGCGGAGAGTATTGGGACAGGAGTATACCGTGGCGTAGGTTCCTTCACCAAGCTGTTGTTTAGGTTAGTATCTGTGGCCTAATTCGCTTGCTGTTCCTGCGGGGATTGCTTACCTTTTCCAGCTGCTGGAAGGAACTGGGATGCGTTCGGGCCATTGAGATAAGTATGGGGGATAAGAGAAATTTTGATAATTTTGAGAAAGAAATATAAAGATTTCAATAAGAATACAAGAAAGTAATAGCAAGGGCGATAAGACTAGACGAATTGATCGAGGACGAAGAGGCGATGAGAAGGAAAGGAGGGCCGACAGGGGAGGCTGAAGCTGAAGCTGAAGAAGATAAGATGGCCGGGGAAATCCGGCCTGAGGCAACCCCGCTGGTTCAGGCGCTTATGCGTGGCAGTTTCAGCTCTCGGCCAGAACCAGTTTTGAGGTCAATATAATACATCTTTAGGCATAATATTCTCTTGCTTCTGACATTTTTGAACTGACTTATAAGGATACAGCTAATACTCTCACAGCAAGAACAATGTTTGATTGTAGGGTGTAAAGTGGACCTGGAGATGACGATGGGCCTCGGCATCCCGCAATCACCTGTGGCACTATATGCGCCGATTTGCCAGACGCCAGAGAACACTCCAAAGCCATGAAATAATGGTATTCTATATATATATAGAAAATCTAGAACTCCCTATAGGTGAATGCCACCGAACGAGTGTTTGCAACTGCTAGCCAAGCTTTGACGAGGGGCTATGACTGGAGAATGAGGGACCTCGGTCATCTCGCCGAGTCCCCCGCATTACCTGTAGCATGTACCCGCATTCCTGGGTCTCTTTTTTGGCCTTGTGCCAGATTCCACCGTCTCACGCCCAATTTCGCCTTCTCTTTCTCCAATCCCTTCTCCAATTTGGAGTTCCTGTTCCGTCCGGTGGGTTATATAACCTCGCTTCTCTCTAGATTTCCCCATCCCCAGCCCGTTCTCCCGTCGCACACGTTCCTTTCCCAGAATGGTCCCAGCTATCCGCATCCCCGCTTCGGCGGCCACGAGAGCCCGTAACCTGCTACGCACAGTCCAATACACTCATCCTCCTTCCTGCCCCTGCCACTCAAATCCAAACCATCACCATCATCATCCACGATCTCCTACTCTAACCGATCATGTCCGACGACATATGGCAACCCCGACGGACCCGTCGCGCGAAAAAGAATACGCCTTCGAAATGGCTGCTTCAAGTATTCGATTCGGCCCCGGTTCCACCAAGGAGGTTGGCATGGACTTTGCGAACATGAGGGCGAAGCGTGTCTGCGTTGTTACAGACAGCAACGTTGCAAAGCTAGACGCCATGAAACAGGCCATTGAGGGTCTAAGCCGTGAGGGTATTGAGTTCACAGTCTTTGACAAGGTTCGAGTCGAACCCAAGGATAGCTCGTATGTGTCACCGAACCCCTTGGTCCGATTCCGATAATCTAATGCGCGAACAGAGTCAAAGAAGCAATTGCTTTTGCTAAACCTTACCAACCCGACGCCTTCCTCGCAGTGGGTAAGTAAACGCGCCTCCTCCATCGTGTGACATAGCTAAATATCCAGGCGGCGGATCGGTCATCGATACCGCGAAGCTGATGAACCTCTACACCGCATACCCGGAAGCCGACTTCCTCGACTTTGTTAATGCACCACTCGGCAAGGGTCTTCCTGTCGAAAGGGCACTAAAACCCCTCGTCGCTGTACCTACCACAGCTGGTACGGGCTCAGAAACCACCGGAACAGCAATCTTTGATCTCGTTTCGAAGCGTGCCAAAACCGGAATTGCCCACCGTAACCTCAAGCCTACACTAGGAATTTGTGATCCTATTAACACAAGAACGATGCCATCCGCTGTGCACGCTTCTTCAGGCCTTGACGTCCTCTGCCATTCCCTCGAATCCTGGACCGCAATCCCCTATAATGAACGCACCCCGCGTCCCACAAACCCGATCAACCGCCCCGCATATCAAGGCGCAAACCCCATATCCGATATCTTCTCCCTCCAGGCCCTTCGCGACACAGTCAAGTACCTTCCTCGCGCGGTCAAGGACCCCGATGATTTTGAGGCCCAGTCCAAGATGCTTCTCGCTGCTACATTGGCTGGTGTCGGATTCGGAAACGCCGGTGTTCATCTCTGCCACGGCATGTCATACCCGATTTCCAGCCAAAACCCGGGCTACAAGCATGCCGGATACGATGTCGACCACCCTATCATCCCTCACGGTGTTTCCGTCGCTGTAACCGCTCCTGCAGTTTTCCGGTTCACCGCAGCCTCAAACCCAGATCGCCATTTGGCTGCTGCAGAGGCCTTTGGTGTTGATATCACGAATGTTAAGCGTGAAAGTGCCGGAGAGGTACTTGGTGAAGCGCTTGCCAGATTCCTCTCGGAACTTGGTGATCAGCCTCTAGGACTGAAGAATTTGGGCTTCAAGTCCGCGGATATCGAGGGCTTGGTAGAGGGCACTCTCCCTCAGAAGCGAGTGCTAATGTTGGCCCCCAACCTTAACAGCGAGATAGAGGCTGAAAAGGATGAGCTCAGAGGCTTGTTGGAGGAGTCTTTGACATACTAAAATCAGTATAGATGGAGTCTCTGGTATATATGATTGTCTCATGCACATATAAATCCCGAAATGTCTGTATGTCTTCAATATTAAATAGTCTAAAAAAAGAATGAAGAAATTGACAAAGTAAATGAGAGATCTAAGACATGAAAGAAGGAAAAGACATAGTCTATAAGTATGCTTAAGCGAGAGAAGAAACAAGAAGAAGAAAAGAAAAAGAATGAAACAAAAATAAAACAAGGCAACGCGGCTTGTAAACGAATGCATAAATAACGCTCATGTGATGTCCCATGCCATAACCATTCTATGCATATACCCATACAAAATAAGCAAAGTCTTGCTCTTTCAATAATCCGAAACGATTGCAGTGCCAATCATCCCCATAGAAGAAGCAATCCGATCTAACCAGGTGACAGCAAGAAAGTCAATCCGGTTGTTGGGAGCCACAGGAGGACCACGGTCCAGCTCTGACACGACACGAAACGAAAGCGCAGAGCTAGTTTCTGGTCGAGCCGCTGCTCTTGCGAGTCGATCCAGCAGATCTCTCATAACAACAATAGTACTTTCGGCTCCCTGGAGGAGAAGAGAAGGGCCACTTTCGCCGGCCATTGCATCTTCATACGGTGACCTGGAATGCGAGCGTTGGTCGTAATCAATCGACGCACGAAGATTCGCGGTTGCTTCACGCAGGGCACGACTGGTTGCTCGGACGCGGTGCATAAGGTCTGGGATGGCAGCTGTGACAGACGGAGAAGGAAAGAAGTAGGCGAGTTCGAGTGCTTCGCTAAGATAGCGCGGACACTTGACTATCTCTGTAAATACCAGCTCAGCGGGATGGATTGACGAAGACCACTCAGTTGGCTTTCGGGAGTCCTCCGCCCCGACGTGGAGCGCTAATTGCTGCCATTCCTCCTCATCAAGGAAACATGGTTTCCCCTTGTAGATAGCAGTTGCTACTAAGAAACCACGGTAGGCAATGTAGCAGGACCGAGCCATACCGTGGGCATGAGAGCGTGCTCCTCGGCTCACCATCAATCGTCTAACACCGTCTGCGTGGACTACCCAGGCGTCGTTGTTTGTCTGCGCATACATTTCGTAAACGCTAAGCATCATCATCGTGCTTAGCATCGCATCTGACATTGCATCGGGAGTCTGCAACGCACGGGCGACCTCGTGAAGTGTCTGCGCGTACATCTGCCGACTTGTTTTCAGCAGTGTTGAGTCTTGCGAAAGATAGGCGAGATAAACCGAACTCAGACATGCAACAGCTGCGTCTTGAAAGATGTGAGAGCCGACATCTTGGATGACATACGATGGAAAGTCAAGTCGGTCGGTAGCGCGGAACCGATTGTGATAGTACATGGTTGGGAAGGCCGTGCGAATGAAGTCCGCGAAGCACTGGATGTGTTGTCTTTCGAGTAAGATTCGGGTGGGAGAGCTCGTGTTGATGTAGTCGTCCCCTAGTGAGGCATACCGGCGCATCATATCAAGGGCATTATCGCGAACCCTTCTTGCGGCATCTGGCACAGGAGATGCCGGTTCGGATACTGATTGTCTGGATGCACGGCTAGCAGAAGAGAGGTGTCGACGTTCGAGTCCAGGACCTTCGTCCCGGAAGCTGTACGTTCGTCGATAACCCGGGCATCCTCTACCATATCGACGACACTGCGAGCATTCTGGGGTGACCTTATCACACTTCATAGGAGTAGAAGTCAGCAAGAATCTTTCTCTCGCAAAAGAGTAGACAAGACTAACCTTGATACGTCGCTCTCGACAACGGGAACAGCCAGTGCTGTGTGGTACACCAACCATTGTCTCCGGAAACCTTGGTCATGTCACTGTATTCGGTTAGCCAAAAACTCGTAGACGCACAATAGTTCTTTTTGGGTCAGTGAGGACGGCAGGTGAAGTGAATTGGGAAAGTGATCTGGAGTATCTGGCAAAGGGCATGAGAGCACGAGGGTTTTTACCTTCCCCAAGACGAGGACCCAGCTGAAATGACAGCTGCGAGATCAACGAATTGAACACGACCAAGCAGTTCTCCGGATCTGGGGCGTCAGTCATGACTGCTGACTCCTGTCACTTCCTTCTCATTTCGTATAGGGCTTGTTATTTTTGGAGGCCAGCAAAGACGAACGAATCCATAGGAACAGTCTATCCACGATGTGCGCGAGATTTGGCCCCCAAAGTGTTCATCCATACCTTCTTAAACATAACTTCGATGTGAGAGGGGGATAAGAACTCGAGCGGGATACGAATGGGATCACACTGATCCTGGGCGTGCGGCGATCGGCCTGCGTCAAGTTGGCCAGTACACGAGGGCGTTCGGTTCCTGGGAGCCGTTAGCGCCTCGAGGCGTTCTATTTTAATTTCTGCGATTGGAGATCAGTCGGATCAAACGCACCAAGTGGGATCCGTTTGGATGAGGCTCGTGTTCCAGCAGTGCGGGTGGATCTTACGAGGTGAGTGGATGGCAAAGCTGGAAAAGCGCGATGGAGGCTCGTATTCACCTCTCTGTCAACTCTCCCACGGACCACGGTACTTTCGAGGGAGCAACTAGCTCATCATGATAATTATAGACGGCCAAACATGTCGACATTGGCCGTTTACCATAAGCTGGGTCCAGCAGCTGTTGCTGCTTCGAGACGCAGCCATCGTGTTGGTCGGGACTGGGAGGACGAAGAGACTCCCCGAAATGGACGGAATGAGAGAGAAGCACGAGCAAGCAAATAGAATTTGATCAAGAATGGAACGGCCTCCGATGGCAACCAACCCCTGTCGTCTTGAGTCGTGAAACCCAACCGGGGCCCCGACCTTGACCCCTCTCCATTGCGACCTCACGAGTCGCGAACTCCACGATTCATCATCAGCTCAGCTCTTGACGTCGGCGGTGCGTCCGTTCTCGTGTCAGAAAATGAGCCTCATTCTTCAGTCCCTCCTTGCTCTCATTCCATCGATCATGGCCGTCCAGAGCCCCCTCGGGAGCGAGCACAACAACATAGCCCAGGCACTTGCAGGAAACCCCGTATTCCCCGGCTGGTACGCTGATCCGGAAGCACGCATCTTCAACAATCGCTACTGGATCTATCCCACCTACTCCGCAGTCTATGAAGAACAAACTTTCTTTGATGCTTTCTCCTCCCCGGATTTGTTGACATGGACCAAACACCACGCCATCCTTAACATCTCCGAAGTCCCATGGTCCACCAACCGGGCAGCCTGGGCGCCATCCGTGGCTCGTCGCCGCCGGCCCGCAAACTCAGATTTAGGCTCCTCCAGTGACGGAAGAGATAACGCTACTTACGACTACTTCATGTACTTCTCTGCGGGTGACGGCGCAGGCATTGGAGTAGCGAAGTCGACCACTGGCCGACCAGAGGGCCCATTCGAGGATGCCATAGGGAAGCCGCTCGTACCAGAGACTGTCTTCGGTGCCGAAGCAATCGATGCGCAGCTGTTCCAGGACGACGCTGATGGGCGCGTCTGGCTGTACTATGGAGGTTGGAGCCACGCTATTGTAGTCGAGTTGAATGATGACATGGTAAGCTTGAAGGGCGATTACCTAGAGATTACCCCGGCGGGGTATGTCGAGGGCCCGTGGATGTTGAAGCGTAACGGCATCTATTATTTTATGTATAGTGTTGGCGGGTCAGTTGTCCTCACCTTTGTCAGAATGCTCAGGTCCTTCCCTGCTACTCAGATTTTGGGCATGCTTTTGCATAAGTTAATCGCGTATAGATGGGGCGACAATTCGTACGGTGTTAGCTATGTCACCGGGCCTTCTCCAACAGGACCCTTCACGAGCAACCCGACCCAAATCCTGCAAGGGGATGATCTAGTCGGCACTAGTACTGGTCACAATAGCGTGTTCACGCCTGATGGCGAGGAGTACTATATCGTCTACCATCGGCGGTACTTGGGCGACACTGCGCGTGACCATCGAATTGTCTGCATTGATCGTATGGAATTCGACGCTGAAGGGAATATTCTACCGGTAAACATAACCATGGAGGGCGTTGAAGGGAGGCCATTGTAGGCACCACTGCTCCTGTGATAATATTTGATATATAAGGATGTATTCAGATTCTATATATTAGCATAGCGCTGTTTCGCTTATGCTTTTTCCGTAACACCAAAACTCCGGGGTATCCGCATATAGGAATGAAAAGACAAAATGACGTTATAACAAATGACGTCAAGGAAAGCATCCAGATCAAAACATGGAGCTGCGCTTTTTTGATAGCTTCCCTTCATCTGAGGCTCGTCGAAACCCGAAGAAGCTACTCCGCTTATTATGTAGCGGCTTGCCCGCCGGCTGAGGTGGCCCTACTGGGGGCGATAACAATGTCGTTGTCGACATCTGGCCGGGTATCTGCAAGTACGGTTGCGAGCCTCCGTGAGACATGTGCGACGGGCGTTGGTTATACCGAGGATGTGGGCGCTGGTATTGGTGCCCATTGTGTCCGTTTGGCGCTTGCGGCGCAGATGGTCTTGGAGGTAGTCCAGGAGTCTGTGCCCGAGCTTTCCGTTCCTCCTCACCATAAAGCTTCTGTAACCGACGCGTTTCCTTTTCAACCTCCGCCTGGCGTTTGCGGCGGGCCTTTTCCTCCCCCTCCAACATTTTCTTTGTCCGTCGTTCTTCTTCCCTCAGCGCTTGTTCCTGCTGTTTGGTGAGTTGAGGAGATACTCTAGCTGGCGGCGGTCGAGGTGCCGGTGCTGGTGGGATGTCGGTTACCAATGCGGCTGGGCTAGGTCGTGGCGGTCTATTAGCGGTTGGGGAGTTGGTAGTTGGGGAATTAGAAGTAGGTGGTGTGGTGGCGGAGCTTTGTTTAGAGATATGGAATGCTTCCTTGAGAGTACCAAAATAAACGTCGCGGATGGTGATAGCCCCAAGCATGAGAACAACTTCAAGACCTTTGAAATCCTCCATTTCAACGCGGTATAGGTTTGGTTCGTACAAGGTCATTTCACGTAAGCTTTTGAAAATTGATACAGTAATATCCGGCTCCTTGCTTTTAGTTTTGGTCTCGGGAATCGCGGATGTTTTGCCACGGAGTAAGCAGGTGAGATCCTTGGACAACTTGCTATCTTTTCGCCAGCTGAAGCGCAATTTGGGCGTTGTGTCCGCCGCAGCAGGATCAACTCGTCCGCGGTCGAGAGTAGAACCGGTGGGCTCGCGGAAACTGTGTTGCGGCATTTCGAACGACCACGAGGCTGGAGTATTCCAAGTCTTTGGATGGTAGTTTACAATTATCTGTTGGTCAGGGTTGTAGAGTCGGATCGTGAAGCGGGCGGGAAGGATAGGCTCTGGAGGTGGTGCAACGCCTCCATTCTGGCGGATAGCTTCCGCCGAGAGCGTTGGCTGTGTCCATTCGGGTATAATCAGGACCTCGCCGTAGACAACATCGGGGACGTAAGGGTCATAGAGGGCGGCGGCGAAGCGGTTCCTGGAATCGGGGGAGGAGGGATCGGGATAGCGAAGGGAGTACGCTGGTTGCGCCTCATTGCCGTACTGCTGAAGGTAAACCGTGGATAGATAGGCATCCTTGGCCGGCTTGAGATAGAATGCTGCTTTGGTTAGCTGCCCGCATATGCTAGGCTTGCAAGCAACGGGCGAACGTACTGGGAAGATTCTCGTCAAGCATTTCGAGCCGGCGCGCGTAACAATCTAATAGGTGACTGGGCTTGTCGGTATTTGATAGTCACTACTTTTTTTGGCGAGAGTCGACATGCCATTGGATCAGGAACGAAAGCTATCCGACGGCAGGGGAAAAAAGTGGTTTATAACGAAGTGTAGCACTGACGATCGGTCGTATTCACCTGCGGGCATGACGAAGCCTGATGCTTCCGTATGGGGTAAACCGATGCCTGAGGCCATGGCTGCGCCTCTCTCCACACGCTAAAAATAGTGGAAGGCGCTTCAAGAACCACAGGCAGCACAGAAACTCTCCCAAGCAAACAAAGACGCTTCGTCGCATTCTCAAATCGCGTTGGCCCATTCCTTTAAACGAAACCCTGGTGCCTTGGCTCCGCCACTGTCAAATCAGGCTCTCGGATTCTACCTCATATCTGCGGGCTTCGCTCTGCACGCTCGGCCATGGCCCCATTGCCCGAATTTACGAGCGTCCAATGTCGACACGCAAGTTCCTCAAACTCCGGCTTAGCTCCCGCTGGAGCCCGGGCTGTGTCGTCAATCTCGATGCCTGCGCGCCATATCTTTCCTAATCAATGGCGATCATTTGAACTGATGAGGAAATGAGGATGCAAGCCTGCTTGATGACGTGCCAAGAGAAGACTCACTCCGCTCAAAGGTTTGGTCTCTCCGGTTTGTCCTGTCCCGGAACGCGTGGCAGATGAATTCAGATCCAGACCGCGCGTTGTGAAATCTCGTAAAATCGACATTTCCTGTCCTTCGGAGTTTGCAGCTTTGCTCGTGTCAACAACGCTAGGAAGGTCGTTTCTCAGGCCTCGCGGTCGTGGGCTCACATACAGATATCTGACCGCTAATGGACGATTCGTCGTCATCCTCTCCGCTCGCCAACATGGATTCATGTATAAAGCTCCGTACTATGCGTCTCTAGTAGGATCACATTACCTATCTCTCGGCGGTGTGCCTGTTTGCTGTAGGTGGAGTTTCAGCTTATAGTGCGTGAATCCAAAGAAATTTCGTGAAAACGTCGTCACACCGGACCTGATACCCACTGGTCTCTAGGGCCAGGGTTGCTGTTTAGACCCTAGTCCCTGGGTCATGATGCCGCTGCCGGGAATTGCTAACAGACTGTTTCTAGTCCTCGATAGTTCCAGTACCGTGACATGGCACTTACTGCTTGATGAGACAGGTTCGCCCTATCTCTCTTGGAACCTGGGTGCCTTGCCTGTCATGACCAGCCCCTCGCTCTAGGTTCCTGTTCCTAAAGCAGCCCACGCTTTTTGAGCTTGCATATTGAAAACTCACCCATATCTGTGCTATCAAGCGCCCTCTACTCTACCCGCCCAAGGCGCAGTCGTCTGGAAGGGGTACGCGGCTCTCTGGGGTTGTCACTCTTTTGTGCACTTCCCTCAAAAACCATGGGCCTTGCTACCTTGTCATGGTGCGATATTGCAAGCCTCAAAACAATCAAGTACTTTTACTTGGCCCTAAGTGAACGGTCACCAGACGATACTATACCAACACGCCTCATACCCGGTTCTTTAGTGCTCAGGCTTCAAATACAGGCCTTGTGCTGCAGGAAAGCCACTGGGGACACTTTCCCTGTTAGTTACAACCAAGTGTGACATTGTTCTAGTGTAGCGGGCCAGTTTAGTCCAGGGGTTGCCCCCGTTCGGACTAGATTGGACCGTTGGGCGGGAGGGCAGGATAATGTTTTCTTTTTAAGTTCTTTTGCCTCCCTCCCTATCCTGTTTTAAGTTCAGCAGCACTCTCGCACTCGCGGTTCGAATCTCGATGACTCCCCTGCCGTGTTTCGTCTTTTTACTGCACAGCAGGCAGTGTGCCTGGGTTACCCATGTAGTTGTTATGCCCGCTGCTACTATTCTGGCACTGATGATTTGACCTAGGCAATGCGCCTTTCTCGGGGATTCCATCCAAGGCTGCAACATCGGTTAAGTACGAACTCGTTGGGCATTTCTCAAATCAGGCAGGCCCCCCGACCTTATTTCGACATATTGACAGATACTTCTAGCTAGAGGTCTGATGTGCTACTACGGGGTACTCTCTGGCTTTAACTCTGTGGTGGTCCTTGATGGTTCCTTAATATTATCCTCAGATATGACATGATGTCGCATAGACTCGTCTCCTGCTCTATTTTCTTTGAGGGTCCCGTAGAATGAAGTGACATGTGGATTGATGTTATATCTAATGAAAGCAGGTGGCTAGCAGGTAGATCCACAGCAGGAAGGAGCTACCTGTTCTGGAGCTGAACGCCGCCTGCAGGTGGACAGTCGTGCCTGCCAAATGCGCTGGTGTGGTGAATTGATAGAAACTACATAGCGGGATCCCGTTTCCTACGTAGCACCAGCACACTCCATTCTTTCTTGTGAACTAGGCGTCTACACCGAGTATCATAGGCCCACAGACAACATGCCGGCTGGTCAAACTCTTGTCTCTCTGGGGGTGGCTACAGTTGCTGCACCCGTGATATTTCTCTCGGTGATGCTGCGCAGAGCTCGCAACCTTGCTGTAGAGCCTCAGGAACCCAGGATTTCCTGCTCCGAAGACCTTCATCGTTCGTTTTCCAGAGGGTATGTCTACTCCGCCGCGTACTTGCACATTTTCTAATATCAACTGGTCAGTGTTTCCTCCGTCCTGCCACTTGAATCGGTACGCTATTATCATAAGCCCCGATCGCTCGAGTTCATCTTGGAATCCAATCGCTTCAGGCCTTTTCAGCCCCAGCTATGCACTAAAACATCCAGCGATTCATTGAAGGGATACTGGATCTGCAAAGGACCGCCAGGAAAGTCCCAATTAGAGGTAGAAAGTGACATCGTGCTTGTTTTGTTCCATGGAGGTGGTTACTGCTTCGGTGACCCTCTGAGCCCGGCCGTGAGCCTCCTTCGTGTCGCCGAAATTGCAGCTGCCCGCGGCATTTCAACGAGTATATTCTCGGTTGAGTACACACTGGCACCGGAAGCCACGTTTCCCCGCCAGCAAGAGGAGGCCGTTGCAGCATATCGGCATCTTGTGGAAACTCAGGCGATACCTCCGGATAAAATCATCTTGGCAGGAGACTCGGCTGGTGGGCATTTGGTTCTTTCTTGTTTAATCGCCCTGCATAGAGAGGGCATTCAAAGACCAAAAGGAGCATTGTTAATGTATCCCTGGGTTACTCTAACCAACAATTCGCCTACGTTCGAAAGCAACCGACACAAGGACGTGCTCAGCAAACGGCTTCTTGATCGTTGCGTTGAGACAGTTATCGGAGAACGGGGCCGTGTGGAAGCATTGAACCTTGAGGATCTTATCAACCCGTGGGAACCCGGAAGAGAACATGCCTGGGACATGATTTTGCCGTTAGTCACCTGGGTCAATGTTGGCCGGCATGATGTGCTTCTGCATGATGTTCAGACCTTTGTTGAGCACGCCAGAGCCAAGGGCGCGCGTGTGCATCTCGAAATCAGGCCTAATGCGATACACGGTTGGAATTTTATTGTGGACAAAAATTCGGAGAAATTTTTCTGTAGCTTGAGCCCTGATGACGAAGTGCCGAAGGGGGTCATGGCCGGGAGTGACTGCATTTGCGAGGGTGTTTTCAATATTCTAGAGAACGATTTGTTTGCGGTTGTGGGTGATGGAGACTGAAAGCCGTATTATTCCATATGCATTATGCCGTTGAAAAAGCAGGCCTAGCCGATGCAGCAATTAGCAAATTTGTTCGAGTGTATAGTAAGCATGGGTTTGGAGAACGAAGAATGCTGGATAGCTTTACCCTTACAATTATTTGGAAGGTATCAAAGATACGTCAAATTATGGTGCATGTCCTTCACTGTCAGTATTGTTCTGCGAACCTTCTCTCTATGGACATTTACAGTAGTTGTGCTTCGGGGCAACAGGCGCCAATGAGCAAAGCAGTTTGTTTAGTTTTAACTCTAGGGAATCCTTGTTCTATGTACTCTATGCCCAAGCCGCTCTCAAAGCAGACAAATCCAAATCCAAATCCAATCGGGTCTAGCAATCTATACTCGGACCCCATCAACCTCCTTACCAGCCGGCACCTTGGCTGCCTCCCGCTCCGCGGTACTAAGCTGCAGCCCTTGGGCATTCCACCCATCCACACCCTTTTTATAGAGCTCCTTCTGCTTCTGTCGGTCAGCCATGGGACCCTGCTTGCCGCGGCGCTGACGCGATTCAATAGTCTCAACCAAGCTAGCATTATCCGAGTCGAGCTTCTCGTCTTCTAGATCGTCGAGATCAATCTTGTCTGAATAGGTGTATGTGCGGTATTCCGTGTTGACCCAGCCGGTTCCTGAAAGTAACAAGAAGTTAGAACTTCGAAACCAAATAAGTACTCAGCGCTGCGCTGTAGATAATACTAACCTTGGAACTGGCTGCTATCCTCCCAATCCTCAGTGAAATAGTGCAGAACACCGCCGTGCGAAACCATCGCGATCTCCTTCTCCGGTCTGGCCTTGAGCCAGCGTCGAGCTGTGCGCGCCCGCCCACCGACCGCACCATTAGTGGGTGCGTAGCGACCGGTCTAAATCATACAGCGAAAGCCAATTAACCACGAATCTTCCGATGAACCTTGGATTGTATCGGGAGCGAGAAGTGAGGATGGGGGCCGGGGAAAAGAGGGGTAGACAAAGTTTCAGGGCAACCAAAAAAAAAAAAAAAAAAAAAAAAAA